GGAATTGGGTCTGGTGGCATTTGGGACCCCTTCTTCCTCATCTTCATCTTCTTCACAGCACTTGGAGCTCCTCTGAATTTCTGGGCTTGAAGGTTGCTTTGTGTGATATCTTCTGGTCCAGGCCTAGGGTGCTATGTTCTTAAACAGAGGTGTTTTTCTACAATTCTACCTTGAAAAGAAGACTAAACATGCTAGTGGAATTTAGAGGGTTTGATATGAAATGGAGTAATAGGGTTGGGTATGTGTAAGGGATATAATACAGCTACATTAAAATCTACATTTACTACACAACTACTTTTAAAATCTACAAAAGTTAAAAAATCCAAAAAGCTCTGAGGCATCAAGGTGACATGGGAAGAATAGAGATGCTGCTCATCACTGTAGGGAGAAAATTTGTGCGGCCAAAGCTCAACTAGAGTTGAAGATGACCTGAAATGTGGGGGACAATAAAAAGAGTTTTTTTAAAATATATTAATGGCAAAAGGCAGTGTAGAAATAAGATTGGCTCATTACAGGATGAGGATGGTTACCTCACAAACAGGGACAGAGACAAGGAAGAGGTGTTTAATGTATTCTTTGCCTCTGTCTTCAACATGGATGACCGACCAAGGGGATCTCAGTGCCCCGAGCTGGAGGACCACAACTGTGAGAATGATCTGTTGATTCTGAACTTGTGTGGGATCTGCTGCTCCAGTTGGATCCCTATAAGTCTATGGATCCTGATGGGATTCATCAAAGAATCCTCAAAGAACTGGCTGATGTAATCACAAAACTTCTTTTGATGAATTTTGAGTGATCTTGGGAATCCAGAGAGGGCTCAGTTGACTGGAAACTGGAGAATGTTGCCCCAGTTTTCAAGAAGGAAGACTTTGGAATTTACAGGCCTGTCAGTCTCACTTCAGTGCCCAGTAAAATCATGGAAGAAATTACTTTGGGAAGTATTGAAAAACACCTGTAGGACAACGCAGTCTTTGGTCACAGCCAGCACGGCTTCATGAGGGCAAAGTCCTGCTTTTTGAACCTGATTTCTTTCTACAATGGTAACCCACTGGCTCACAGGTCGGGCTCAAAGAATTATAGTGAATGGGGTAACATCAGGCTGGCATCTGGTCAGTAGTGGGGTTCCGCAGGGCTCCATCCTTGACCCAGTTCTCTTCAACATCTTCATTAACAACTTTGATGCAGGACTCGAAGGAATACTAAGTTTGCCGATAACACTAAATTGGGAGGAGCTGTTGACTCCCTTGTAGGCAGAGAGACCTCGACAAATTAGGGAGATGGGCAATCGCCAACCACATGAAGTTTAACAAGGGCAAGTGCTGGACTCTGCACCTGGGATGGGGCAACCCAGGTTGTATGTATAGACTAGGGAATGAGAGACTGGAGAGCAGTGTCTGGGGGGTCCTGGTTGATGGCAAGTTAAATATGAGTCAGCAGTGTGCCCTGGCAGCCAGGATGGCCAACTGTGTCCTGGCAGGCATCAGGCACAGCATTGCCAGCTGGCTGAGGGAGGTGATTGTCCTGCTCTGCATTTGTGTGGCCTCACTTTGAGTACCATGTGCAGTTTTGGGCACCACAATATGAAAATGGCATTAAGTTATTAGGGGGCCATGAGGATGGTGAAGGGTCTGGAGGGGATGCCTTATGAGAAGCAGCTGAAGTCACTTGATTTGTTCAGCCTGGAGGAGACCTCATTGTGTTCTTCAACATCCTCACAAGGGGAAGCAGAGGGGCAGGTACTGATCTCTTCACTCTTGTGACCAGTGACAGAACTCAAGGAAACAGTATGAAGCTGAGTTGGGGGAGATTTAGGTTGGATATCAGGAAAAGGTTTTTCACGCAGAGGGTGGTTGGGCACCGGAACAGGCTCCCTAGGGAAGTGGTCACAGCACCAAGCCTGTCTGAGTTCAAGAAGCATTTGGACAAATGCTCTCAGGCACATGGTGTGATTCTTGGGGTGTCCTGCACAGGGCCAGGAGTTGGACTCTATGATCCTGATGGGTCCCTTCCAACTGATTCTATGAACTGTTGTCAGTTAAAACTTGAGAACTTAATGTTAAAAATACAGAAGTGTTCCTAGTTAGGACTAGGCATGAAAATAAGAGGTGACTAGAAATTATAGGCATCCTGTCCTTGGCAACAATGAAAGTTATAAATCTTAGTAATAGTGAGTTACTCTTTGAAATATTTGATAGTAGTCCTGGCCAGTGGGGAAGCTTTTTATGAATAGCTAGGTAAGACACCATTTTGCATCTCTTTGGGGGAAAATTACATTTGGTGTGAAGCTGAGAGATATTAAGAATTGCTTCTATCTGAATGCATTAAGCATTTGGCAGTTGGAACAGCATCATATTTAAGTTTTTGATCTTGACCTATAAAATTCTAAATAGTATAGAGCCATCTAAAGGTGTCCTGGGTTTGGCTGGGTGTGCTGGTTTAAAAGTAAATCAGCTGGAGAAATGAACCCAACTCAAGAGAAATTACAAGTCAGAGTTACAATTTACTAAAGAGATCACAATTAATACAATGATACAGACGTATAACCCAGCACCCTGGGACAAGAACAGAACACTGTTCGTTAGCCCCTGGGGGCAAAATAAAAGGAAAGGAAACCTGTTGGTCCAGATGACAGTGGCAGTTCTGTTGAAGTAATGATCACAGCCTTGTCAAGACTAGCAGTCACAGTCCGGTTGAAGTTCTGGTCCTCCTCTGGATCTGATGAGTGGTACCAGAAGTCCTAAAACCCTAAGATTATATATGCTCAGGTTCAGGTGGGAATACCCAGTACCTCCCCCAGGGTGGGGAGTTTCACAATGGGTAATTTAACTCTCTGAGTCATGGGATAATTTTGGAGTCTTTGATGGTCTAGGTCTTTGCAGCTGCCTATTATGCCAGTCCAAGGTGACCCATTAGCAGAGATGACCCCTCAGGCTGGGTGTGAAGGTGCTAATGCCTCCCTGGAGGGGAGTTACCACAGCTGAGTAATTGGTGTGAAGACAAAGTAACACTCCCCTGCCTCACAGGGTTCTTTAACACCCAGTTTGTAGCCTGAGGTGTCAGGTGTGCCCTGGGCAGCTGCTGAAACAACCCATTATTAACAGTCCATCAGAAATGACATAGAGGGTGTAGAATACACAGTTTTGGTTATACCCACATAGTGATAAACTGGTCCTGGCCCCTTCAACTAGGACACTGGGTTTGACTTAACTTTCTTCATAGTAGTCCCTGTGGTGCTTTTACTTTGGATTTGTGGCTAAAGCAGTGTTGATAACACACTGATATCTTGACTGTTGCTGAACAGTGTGTGCAGCATCAAGACTTTCTCCATTTCTCACTGTTCCCCTGCCCTCAAGCAAGTAGGCTAGAGGTGGGCAAGACGATGAGAGGAGAGACAGCCAGGACAGCTGACTGAAATTGGCCAAAGGGATTCCATACAATATCATGTCATGCTCAGCAATAATAATAATAAAAAAAGTGTGTGTGTGTGTCCTACAAGGTAGCCATTGCTCAGAGACTGGCTGGATGTTGGTCTGCTTGTGGCAGGTAGAGAATGATTGACTTTGCATTCCTTCTGGGTTTCTTTCTGTTTCCCCCAGTCCTTCTTCACTTATTAAACTTTTTCTCAACACATGAATTTGAATGCTTTTGTTCTTACTATTCTCTACCCTGTTCTGTTGGGAGTTGGGAGCGAGCAAGCAGCTGTATGTGTGGTTAGATGCTGGTTTGGGTCAACCCACCACAGACCTGATCTTTTTAACCTTGCCTCAAGTGCAATACAGTGTACAGAGAAAACAATTCTTTCACTCGTTTAACTTATTTTATTCAGGATGAGGAAATGCAAAGGAGAGCACTATACTAACAAGACTGCAGCTTTGCCAATGCAAACAATGTTTACACTGGTACCACTTCTGCTGGTATATGTGATCTGTATAATTTATTTATTTGACTTTCATTCTGATGGAAGTGAAAGTTTACTTTGAGAACTTTTATTTCATAGAAAAAATGTTTCTGGCAAGATTTTTATTAACAGCTAAACTGCTGTTTTGGTTCTTTTGTTTACTCTAAATTTTGCAATTTTTCATTTTTTTTCTCGTGTATGGTAAGCCAGAAGATCACTTTCATACCACTTCTGAAATGTTGGTTTGTTTTTTTTTTTTGCAACTCTTACAAGATGTGTGAATTGGTAAAATCAATAGATGAATGGTCTGAAATAGTTGATAATTTAAATAGTATAAAACATTAGCTGTATACAAGTTTTCCCTTTTAAAAGGTTTTGAGAGCAACACTTGGCTTTGCTTCAGTTGCTCTCTCCACTACTGCCTCCCCCCCATTTGATTTTTTGGGGAAGAAAGAGGTCAAAATTGAGGTAAGGATAAGGAATGTTTTAATGAGTTTAACCTTTGGCTTAAACTGAAGTGTTTGTTTGTCATATTATGAAGTCTATGAGTTGCCATGCATCTGTATTTGCTTTTAATAGGTTGCATCTTGGGTTTGAAGAAGACTTTTTTGGCTGAAATATAGTCTGGTGTGACTGCTGTCCTTTTGTTTAGGTGCAAATTTTGGTACTGTGATCTGTGTTTGTTGTTTGAGAAACAGGTTAGTATAGCCTGAATTGAATCCTGAGCGGGCTTAAAATACAAGTCTCAGTCAGATCAGTTCCCTCTGGTTCTACTCATTTACTGAAAATGTACAAATTGGGGAGGAAATAAAAAGATTGTTATAAAGAGCCTTTGTCCCCTTGGTTCAGAGTGCTTTTCTCCAGTGTGAGTTATTTTGGGAAACAGGTTATCTGAACCTATGAAGCTTTACAAATTCTGTATATTGGAAATAAGTAATTTGAGAGACGTTACACGTATAAACATCTGATGACATCATTTGAAAAAAAGGTTTGGAATTTTATCATTTTCAACTGAGAACTTTCATTAGTTTCATAGCTCTGTTCTGTGCGAATAAATAGAAGCCTTAAATTTTAAGGACAGCCATTGTTATATGTTTTTTAGGTGGTATCATGGAAAACTTGACAGAGCAATTGCAGAAGAACGTCTTTGGCTAGCGGGAAAACCTGGAAGTTACCTTATTCGAGAGAGTGATCGGAGACCAGGTTCATTTGTGCTTTCATTCCTTAGTAAAACAAGTGTCAATCACTTCAGGTGAGAAGTAAATGTTTTCTTTTAAAACACTGTAACCTGTTTATTTGTGGGTTTGGAACTTAGTATGGTACAGAAAATAATTGTATTATAAATTGGATATCTTTTCTTTTTATCCATGTATGGTATAGCTCTTTACTAGGGTTTAATTGTTTTAAACCATGCTACAAAAATTCCTTTACAGGCTGAAGAATGAAAATGTGAGGAAAACAACATCATCAGGATAGAAAAGCTTGTCTAAAGCTGTTGTGACTAAATTTACAATAACGTGCAGGCTTCTTAGTAGTAATCAGATTGTTTTGATTCTATTCCTCAGTTATTGCAGCTTACAGGACATACTTTAAAGTCATAGCAAATCTGGGTGTTCATAAAAAGATACAAAAAGGAGAAACAAAGGTTATGTATTTAATAATATGAGGATTTGCTGGAATCAGTTTTCAGTCTATGTCAGAATTAGTTGTTTTAAATACAAGTATCTATTTATCTGAAATTGTAACCAAGGTTATTTTACCATTAGTAAGTTATATACATTAATTTAGTCTCATTTAGTGTAAATGACATGTTCTGAGAAGTGCTTGAATGTAAGTCAGCAAGTAGTGTACTGCAGTGTAATGTTTATCTTCACAAAATAGGATATCAAGTGCATCTTTAGCACTAAAAAAAACTTTTATCAGCTATCTAGATAACAAGAAATAAACAGAAAGCAAATTTACTTCCAAAGCAAACAAATAGCATGTTCATGTTTGTATCATGTTGTCTGAGCTAACAATTCATGCTTCTCAGCTATACTGATTCTTGTAAGGGAACTGATTACTATGTAGCAGTAGTAAAAAATGAAATTATGTTAATATTTGTTTTTTTAAGTTTGTTTTAAAGACTCCTATTTTTAATAACTTCTGTTTATTGTAGCCAATATCAGATGTTGAATGTTCATTTGTGTCCACCATAAAATTGTTTCTGGCATCTCAGAAAATGGGAAACCATTAAATGCTGCTTTCTAAGAAAGGGATCCTTATAATATTTTCAAATCTTAAAAAATCTTTTCTTCTTGGATCCGTTAAATATGTGAAGAAATAACTACTTGAAGGAAACTAATTTGTTTGCTGATAGTGGTCTTCATAGAACAGACATACTTTTGGTTTCACTTGACTGCAGAGTGTGTATGTATGTTTTTGTTATTAGAAGGGCAGATACTACACTCAAACATTTTTCCAACCTCAAGAATAGCAGTCTTAAAGTTATTTCAGCCAAATATAGGGATGTGCCCACTGGGTCCCACAGACTGGAAGTGTCACTTCCACCAAAGCTTGTTCTCTGCCAAAAATAGGTGAAATTTTCATTGGTCAACAATCTCACTGATATTTGTTTCTTAAAAGTGATATTTTTAGGATTACACTTTCCTTAAATATTTCTATTTGACCAAAATATCAATATTTTAGGTCAAAGTTCTCCAAATCCCCCTCCCCCAAGTTGAATATGGGCATATGTTTATGCAGCATATGATTGACAGATAGTGTATGAGTCCATCAAAACTAAATTCTTTTTGGCAGCAGTAGTATTTTTTTGATGAGTTGTTGAGTGATATAAAATATTGGGGAGGAATAGCTTTATATTTTCATCCTGTCCTTCAGAATTTTCTGTAATTACAGAACTATTTGTATTTACTAGTCCTTTGTGTTCTGAAGAAAGGTTTCATTTGAAATTGGTCTGTTTTTCCCAAGTAGCTTGTAATAGGATGTCCCAGTTTAAATGAGAAAAGGGTCTTTTGCTGAGGATGGGTTAGGAGAAAAGACCCAAACTTCTTTTTCTAAGCAATTATAAATCCAAAATTGAGAGGCTCCAATTGAAGGAAAAACAAATTATGGAAAAGGGAAAATAACAGCCCTTTATTAAAAGGTATGTGTGTATTAACAGGAACACAAAAAAAAATAACAAGTAAAACAACCAAGCAATACTCCTATACCCACCAATAATCCCCTTCAAGAACAAACCGATAAACCGACAAAAGGAAAATTAAATAGTTCAATTTCTTGCACCCTTTGGTGCAGTTTCAACCACAGTCAGCAGGGGGAGCCGTCGGGTCACTGGAGATACAAAATTTGTAATGTCCTGTGCCATTCACCAGGTGGCGCTGTTGGGTCACTGGAGGTGTAGAACTTGTCGTGTCCTATTGTAGTCACCAGGTGGCGCTGTTGGATCACTGGAGGAGCAGAACTTGTAATGTCCAGTGCCTGTCACCAGGCGGCACTGAGAGATCCTTGGTTACCGCCAGGTGGGTTGGAGGAAAGGGAAAAAAAACCAACACTCCCCAGGGTATATCGGAGAAAGAACAAAAAATCTCGATTCCCCTTCCCTTCCCACACTGGAAAAAAGTGGGGGGGGGGGGGAAAGGGGGAAGAAAAAAACAGCAATAAAACAGAAAGTTCTCCCAATGGAAGAAAACTCACGAACTTCAGCTGGTTAGTGTTGCCTAAATGGCTGTGGGGAAAAAAGACTCCAAGCCAAATTAGGTAGGAGATAAGATAAGGATACAAAAGTTTTAATGAGCCCCCAGGCTTTCTGGAATAGCCTCAGCACGCGGTCTCGAAATACAGATGTCCACAGTTTTTATAATGATTTTTGCCCAGTCCCCGTCCTGTCACCACCCAGGTTCTGCCCCCACCACGCCTCTTGGAAATTGGGTCTGGGGGTGTTTTGGGACCCCCTCTTCTTCATCTTCCTCAGAGCACGTAATGTCCTTGGAGGCCTTCCAGAATTCTAGGCCTGAAGGTTGTTGTGTCTATGGCTATATCTTGTTCCGTAGGGTTAGGGTGTCCTTCTACAATTCTACCTTGAAAAAGTGACTAAACAGGCTATGGAATTTAGAGAATTGATATGGGAATGGGTAACAGGGGTTTGAGCTGGTGTGTTAAGGGTAAAGGGATAATATGCTGCTACTCTAAAATCTACATTTACTACATAACTACTTCTAAGGTCTACAAAAATAAAAAAATCAAAACATCAAAACTCCAAGGTATCATTAGGATTAGTTTTAACAAGGGCCTGCAGCCAGCAACAGCTGAGAAGAGAGCAGCAGCAAATTCCCCTCCGGCAGGAAGAAAGAAGAAACCAGGCAGCTCTGCAGCTTGCAGCAGGTCCTCTGCCCACCGGCACACCCCCCTCTCTTCCCCACCTCCTTCCAACCACACACTAGCTCCCCCCAACTCCTCCCCCTTCGTTGTCAAGGAGACTAATCTCTCGGCCATTACTGGACCAGGCCAATTCTTTTGTTCACCTGATGGCCCATATACAGAGCACACACACACGCCAGGGGGAAGGGAAAGAAAAATTCCTTGCTAAAATCGGAACTATGACATAGGATAAGGGGAAAAGGCCTCAAGTTGTGTCGGGGAGGTTTAGATTGGATATAAGGAAAAATTTCTTCACCGAAAGGGTAGTCGAGCACTGGAACAGGCTGCCCAGGGAAGTGGTGGAGTCACAATCCCTGTAGGTATTTAAAAGACATGTAGATGTGGTGCTTAGGGACATGGTTTAATGGTGTATTTGGAAGTACTGGGTTAATGGTTGGACTACTAAAGTCCCATTATATTAAAAAACCCCATTATATTAAAGGTTTTTCCAAACTGATTCTATGATCCTAAAAATGATTGTTTTGACTCTGCAACACAGAGTTCTAGTGGAAAGTATGATGTTTTCTCATTTACTACATATTTTATTGGAAACTGTTTTTAGCATTCTGCAAGTTTCATAAAACTGATAATTTCACAATTTTTACCAAAAAATGATAGTCTTGAAGTAGATCAAATGTCTTGTTTATTTTTTCCCCTATGTGTAACTAAAGGAATAGTTCAGTGCCTCTGTCAGTATTTTCTCCCATCTCCAAGTTACCTTTCCAGGTAGCTTTTAACATTTTTAAAGAGTGAGTTTGTAATATTGCATTTTGAATGTAGACAACCTGCTTTAAAAACTCAAATTCATCGTAATTTCCTAAAAAAAAAAAAAAAAAAATCACAAACCCAAACCACCCCCAACGGTTTGTACCAAAAGATGTTCTGTCAAGATTCCTTTTCTTTATTAACAGGATTATTGCCATGTGTGGAGATTATTACATTGGTGGACGTCGCTTTGCTTCACTCTCGGACCTAATTGGTTATTACAGTCATGTGTCTTGTTTGCTGAAGGGGGAAAAACTATTCTTTCCAGTAGCACCTCCAGAGGCAAGTAGTAAAACTTTAAAACATCATTTACTTAAATATTGATATAATTAATCTTGCATTCAATATTCATAGTTTTCTATGAAAAAAAGCATTGTAGATGGCTTCCCCTAGTTCTAGACCTATCTCAGCATATGGTAAAGTATAAAGAATATATAAACGTGGTTTTACTGATAGAAAGTAATGATAAAAATTGTTTTTTAATGAAAATCTGTAATGAGAAAACTAGATATCAGGTATTGCAGTGATCTCCAAATGTAGTAATAACATTGTACATAAACTGAGATAAACAAGAAAATGTGTGGTTCTTGGCTATTAAAAAGCACCATTGTAATGTAGTTAGCCTCTAGGGTTTTACCTAGACTTAATAAAGTGTTTCAAAATAATATTATTATTTTGTAGGAAAGATTTTGAAATACACATCCTTGAAATAACCAAAGTTCCTGAAAGCTGTGCTTTCACGTGACTATCCTTAAGACAGTATCAGTAATGACCCCCCCCCAAATAAAGATGTTTCTGAATGTTAAACTTTCATAAATTTCCACTAAGAGGAAGAAAGTTCTAAAGTACTCTTTCATGGGATTTACATTGCTGGTAATTTGATTTTTGTTGATAACATGACTGATAATTTTAGAATGCTAGAACCAAAATTAGGGCTTTTGCAAGTAACTTTAGGAATTGAGCATTTCCAGCTCTTACTATTTTTGACCCTCTGAAAACTTAAAACTAGCAAAGGGATACAAATTACTATTACCAGTCTTTTGCCTCAGAATAGCATAATGTTGGGGAGAGGAAGTCTACACTAGAATGAAAGGGAAAATTAATATCTTTGAACTCTTCTCTAAAATTGTAGCCTGTGGAGGATAGAAGGAGAGTTCGAGCGATTCTACCTTACACCAAAGTGCCAGAAACTGATGAAATAAGGTATGTTTTAATAATAGGTAGAATCACATGTGAAATTCTTGGACTATTTATAAATCCTAATGATTTAGGTATATGTTCACTATGTAAATACTTTCCAATTGCATCTTAGACTTAATGCTCTGGGAGGTTAAAGGTATGATGACTGCCTTTTGTTTTTTTTCACATGATATATGTTATGTGGAAAGGATGCAAAACCAACAGTCCTATATCTAATAGAAGAACATATACTAGTTGCTTGGAATTAATACTGCTTTCCTGAGATGCATGATAAAATAGTCTGTTCATGGCAAAACTGGGACAAAGTACACTGGTTTAGGTCAAATTAACATATTATACTCTTGTAATGTATTCTTGAAGATGTTATGGATTTTAGGGAATCTTGACTTAATTTTATTCTCATAATTAACATTTAGAAAGCTTGAAGCATTTCAGAGTTAATTTCAACCAGTCTTTCACACAATAACTTGTTGTGAACTTCTTTGTAATAGAACTGATATAGAATGGCCTTGCTGTTTATTGTACATTAGGATTTAGGTTCATTAGTAGCTGAATTAATTCTAAGTATTTTCATTAGGCTATTTTTAACACTGTTTTATTTGTGCTCAAGTTAATGTATTTTTTCTTACTCTGTCACAGATGAATTATTAAGAGAAGTCATCATTGTGGGGTTAACTAAAAGGATTTTATTAATGATTAAACAATTATTAAATGGTAATTAATTAATACTGTTCACTCAGAGTGGGTGCATCTGTCTCACCCTCTCAAATAAGAGATGTTCAGTAGAAAATTACTATCTAATTTTGGATTGAACTAATAGTTGATGAGCTTCAGTACCATGTAGCTATTGCCTGTATCCCTTATGCATCATTTGACTTGATTGAGAAGTCCCTCTGTGCTCCAGTGAAAGGTTTTCATATGACCTGATGTCATGATTTAACCCCAGCCAACAACTAAGCACCAACAGACACTGGGGCAGTAATTTTCCTGGATGGATGCCTTTTGGCTGATGTTTTTTCTTGCAGTTCCTGTACTTGAGCTTCTAGTCTCCAGGTAGGTTCACCATCCCACTTCCTTATGTCCTCCCCATGGTCACGCAGATAGAACCACAGGGTGGCATGTGGAGTGTGTCACTGGTAACCCTCTCCCCTGAACACAAAAATGTTGACTCTTAATAGCCAAGATGCTGGTTAGTATGGGTGAGAAAGACTTATCCTTCTTTAATTGCTGGGACAGTTTCTCCACAGCCAAGATGCAGGGAGGAAGCAAGATTCTCTTTGAATTCTCAAGTCGGCTGGCCAATCCAACCACAGTTGCTGCTTTTGTGTCTCTCCAGCTCATTACCACTGGGGGGGTGGTGCACGATGTTGGTGCACTTTGTACAAACTTTCACCATGTGGACCATGTGCACGGGATTTCACCCACCTCTTTGGATACCTGGTTGTCATCTAGGTTGCTACAGATCACCACCATGGCTAATTCCCTCAGATACTGGATATCTCCCTCAGTGGTGATCCATTTGCTTTGGGAATTTGCAGGTTCTTCTTTGAAGGGATATCTATCCTTTACACTTGACAGAAGCTGCTTCCTAACACTGAGGATTCCTGCCCCTTTTACAACAAGGGATCCCAGCTGCTGTGTTTCCTTACCCTCTGATTCCAATATCCCAGAATCAGAGTAACCAGATGATTATTTGTTCACCTGGTTGATGGTTTTGCCTATCTCACTGCTTGCTTAGGGATAGGGATTTTGTGGTTTCTGTCTCATTTGTAATTTCATTCTTTCCCCTTCTGTTCTTGTGACTACTCTACTGCTCCCACTTAGGAGAAGCTTCATCCCTTACTGAATGAATTGACTTCTGCTTCCATTGTTTCTTTTTAATTATAGAGGTGACTGATATAGTTGAAGGCTGGGTCTCTGATTTAGCCACAGTGTCTCTTGGTATGTTTTCAGATCCAGAAGACCCTCCCTTCTTGAGGGTGCTGAACAGTACTAAACAGTGTTTGGTAGGTGCAGTCCAGGCTGCAGTACAATGTGATAAGTTGTGCCTCTTTGGAATAGCCAGGGCATCTTTTTTCAAATGTTCTATCACTTCATCAGGATCTGGGAGTGAAGTCCCAGACCAATGGAAGTGACAGCCTTTCTAAATACCTGCTCATATTTTCCTACATGCCTGGCCACCCATAACCATACTGCCACGGGGTCTGGGTGATATTCCTAAATTGCTTGTTAACCTTGGAAAAAGCCAAAACAGTATTCCTAAGAAATACCTATAGGAGTATTTTCATTACCCAAGGATGTTGGTTATAACGAGGGAGAAAACATCATGGAAGAAGGTGGTGAAGGTGCCAATCTGTATTTCCTCCATAAAAAACCTCTCTGAGGAAGTGTAATTGTTAATTTTCTCCATGAGACAGTTCCCAAAGTACGGTCATGGAATCAGTACAGAGCCCAAATAGCAGATGAATCTCACAGGCAAAACACCACTAAGTGCTACAGAGCACAGAAAACTACAAAAACCAAAACCAGTCTTTAACATGTACAGTAGAAAAGAGAGCATGGCACAGATCAGATAAATTAATGTTGACAACAGATATATCAATACTGTGACCAGCAACTGTAAGAGATATAAGTTCCTTCTAATACCTTCTGGTAAAATCTTAAACCCCATGCCAAAAAGGACTGTTATGTTTTAACCCCAGATGGCAGCAAAGCACCACACAGCATCTTGCTGCCTCCCTCCTGGTGGAATGCGGGAAGAATTAGAGGGATAAAAATGAGACATTTGTGGGTTGAGATAAAGACAGTTTTAATTGGTAAAAAGAAATAAAAAAAAAAACTGTTAGGGGCAAAAATCACACCAACCAACCGACAAAGAGAGAGGAAAATAAAACCCAAGAAAAACAAGTGATACAAATGAAAACAATTGCACACCATTAACAGACTGATGCCCAGCCAGTCCTCAAGCACACTGTCTGCCCCCCCCATAGGAGCTACTATGAAGAAATTTAACTCTATTCCAGTGAAAACCAGTATGCCTGAGTTTGGGATTACACTTAAAGAATAACTTATACTAACCTTTCAGTAATGAAACTCTTGAATGTTTAATGCTTTGTATTTATACTCTTTTTGCAACTATCTGCATATTTTTTCAAGGAACTATTCTGTATCTTCCTTTTAACACTTGTCTTCATATCCAAATACTTAAATAGTAGATATTCCATAGACTTTATTATAAAAAATTAGGTTTTGATAGAAATATTTTTTCTTAGACTATTAAGGAAATCTTTGATTGTTTTTACTTGTGATTAGTATTTGATCCCTCTTGATAAAAGAGTGTTACTGTCTTCTAATGTTGTGGTAATTTTTGTTTTATGCATCCTTAGCATACTTTAAAGTATCTGATTCTAAATGTAAATTAAAGAAAGATAAATATTCAAGTGATATTCATAGCTACTTAAACTGCATGAAAAATGCACAAGGTGTGCTTGGGACATCAATAAATGTATCTTTCATGATCAGATTTTCTTAAATGTTTTGCTGAAACTATGCTCAAGAATTCACTGTGTTCATTAAACTTTGTATTATGATTGCACTTCTAACATATGTCTTATTGTAACTCTCTTCAGTTTCCTTAAAGGAGATATGTTTATTGTCCATAATGAATTGGAAGATGGCTGGATGTGGGTTACAAACCTACGGACAGATGAACAAGGTCTTATTGTAGAAGACCTAGTAGAAGAAGTGGTAAGTAATTTTATATTCAAATCTGTTGAAGAACTGAGATTTGATTTTTTTATTAGTTGTGTGTGAAAGTTAACATTGAAATTAAACCAAACTAGTGGCATTTAGCTGCCTGACTATGTACTTTTCTAAACATTACTGCAGTATTTGAATCTTCCAGTTTTTAAATAGTTTAACAAACCATTGTCTAATTCAATATCCAAACAAAGTACGTGTATGTTATACAAACAAGTTCATGTGCAAATGAATGATACTGTGAACTTATTAAGCAGTTCCCTAAACTCACCAGTCCTGATAAATAACTTTCTAGTCATTCAGTTGCATTCTTTTTTTTTTTGTTATTAAATATTCATAAATGTATAGACTGAAATTTTGCACTATGTCTTTGGGTTTTTTTTGTTTATGGGCCAAGTGTGGATATCAAAATATTGATGAGTTAATTATATCTATAGAGGCTTATGCTAAGTCAGGAAGCTAATCAGGTGACATAAAGATAATTGATTTACTCCAGGACAAGAGATGATTTAATGGACAAAAACACCCACCCCACCCTCCCACATACTTCTTTTAAAGAAAGTTCACCATTGCTTTGGAGTCCTGATGATGTTTCCTTTTCAGCATATTGCTATGAGTAGAGTTTGCTTCACCTGTTTCTCACATCTCGATCAGGATGTGAATGGCTAAATTGAAATGGTAGAGTATCTAACTATAAATTTCTACATTAGTGGTTGAAATTCAGGAAAGTTGAGATTTAAATTACCACATGTAAAGAAGGACTTGAACAGAAACAATCTTTCGAAATAATGTGTTGTGGCTGAATTTCCACTTAGTGAATGAAGTTAAAAACCTCTTTAATTGAACTGTGCAATAAGCCATCTAGTTCAAAAATGTCTTGGATTTCTTAGTGCTGTTTATTTCTACAGAAGGTCTTAACTTATGAAGTTTACTTTTCTAAACTCAAGCATACTGTTGTCATGCACTTAATATGTTAATTCTCCTATTAGGGAAGAGAAGAAGATCCACATGAAGGCAAAATGTAAGGATTTTTGTTTTTTTATTCAAAGCAAATCTTAAAACAACTGTTTGTAAACTTTAACTATGAGATTGGGGAGGTGAACCAAAACTGTGTGTATTTGTTTTTAATCTTAAGATTTCTACACTAACTGCTGAAGTTGCATAGGTCACTGGCATGAAGTCTTGTATTAGTTATGCCTAATGTTAATGGGTTTTGCAGTGATAAAATTTTGAATGAGTCTCTGTGATCATTTTACCTAGGATATATACAGTGGAGGATGTGTTGTTTTCTGATTTGTGCAGGGGTTTTATATGCATACAATTTACCTTAGAGGTAACCTTTTTTCATGTCTGCTCAACTCTTAAGTGCAGGAGAAGGATCAAAAAGTATCATTCAGAGGTGTCTCAGTTTAAAATGAGACACAGGTGTTTTGCTGAGGATGAGTTATGAGGAAGACCCAAACTCCTCCCTCTAAGCAATTGTAAATCTGAAATTAAGAGGCTCTGATTGAGGGGAAAAAATTGTGGAAAAAGAAAAAATAACAGCCCTTTATTTAAAGATATATGTGTATTGGTAGAAACAATGAAAGAAAACAAGTAAAACTACCAAACAATACTCCTATAGCCACAAATGATCCCCTTCAAAACATACCAATCAACAAGCAAAGGAAAAAGTAAACAGTCCAATTTGCACCCTTTGGTGCAATTCTAACCACAGTCAACAGGGGGTGCTGTTGGGTCACTGGAGATGCAGAACTTGTAGTGTCCTGTGCCAGTCACGAGGAGGCGCTGTTGGATCACTGGAAATGCAGAGCCTGCAGTTCATTATGCTGGTCAGGAGGGGGCGCTGTGGAATCACTGGTCGTTGCCACCTGGGGGTAACACCCTCCGGGGTGTGTTGGAGAAACCGAAAATGGGTTTCCCTCCCCCCACACACACTGGGAAAGGGGAGAGAGAGGAGGGAGAGAAACAACAAAAAAAAGTCCTCCCCAATGGGAAAAAACTCACTCTTTCTGCTGGCCAAATCATGCAGTATAGTCTTCCTTCTCCCTTTGATATGCACAAGAACCACTGCTAAGAAAGAAACAAATGGGAACAGGGAAGGGAAAAGAAAAAAAAAAGGAACTCCCAAAACAGTTCCTCTCTGATGAAAAATCCAAGTAGAATCCAGAGCTGGCAACCAGGCTGAGAACAAAACCCTACAGAGCTTTTACTCTGACCTTGTTCCAGCTTTAGTAGCCAGCCAGAACTCCTCCCCCCCCCATTTTCCAGGAGACAAGAGAAAAAAAAAAGTAAGAAAGAAGGTCCTCACACCCATTTCCCAGGAGATGAGATTCTGAGCCATTAACTAGAAGGCAACTTTTTTTGTGCTCCTTAACTGCCCACTTTACAGTCCTGCACCCAGTGGGCAGGGGGAAGGGGAAAATTCTTGCTTAGTTTCTAAGAACCAGCAAAACCATGACAAGAGGAATGATAATGTAATTGTAAAAAATTTATATTAGCCTCATGTACTAGCACTTGAAGTGAAAACCAGGAAACATTAGAATAATCTGCAGTGAATTCCAACTTGTTAAATAATTAAAAAATCCCCAAACAAATACAATTTACAGTGAACAATGAATTGATACAGGAAACTTGATTGTTAAATTATTTTCAATAGTAAAGATGAGCAGCAAATGAAAGTTATAGAAAATTTCTAGTAGCTGTATAACTTAATCTATCCTTCATTTGCTTGCATTAATTGCAGCTTCTGTTTCCTGTATTTATTGCCTAGTTTGCAGTCTCCAAAGGACTAGTGTTTGAAGAAAGCATTTCTTGTGGTGGTGGAGTTTTCTTGGTGATTTGTTTTTGTTTTTAATAGGGGAAAGAAAATTATTGGTGTGTGGCTTCAGTTTACTGGTTTCCAATATTGTGCTAATCAGTTTGGTATAGCAGCATAACAGTAGTAGGGATGCCTTCAAATACAGGAACTTTTTTTAAACAAAGTAGTTTGTAGCAAAATCTTAAATCTTTGACACTCAATCCAGTTACTTATGCTTCTCAGAATATTCCAGGGAGGCAGGGATTTCTGCAAATATTCCAATAGCCGGAGATTCTCCTGTAAAGGTAATATAGAAAGCAAGTTAGAACTAGAGTTCTTTTTTGATGTGTAAGAGACTTTCTTTTACACAGAATCATTAAGTTTGGAAAAGACCTCTTAAGATCATTAAGTCCAACCATCAACCCAGCACCACCACCATGTTCACCACTAAACCATGTCCACAAGTGACACGGTGACTCCACCACTTCCCTGGGCAACCTGTTTCAATGCCTGACCACCCTTTGCATGAATAATTTTTTCCTAATATCTAATCTAAACCTCTCCTGGTGCAATTTTCTTTCAAGGCCTTAGTTTTGTCCCATTTTGGGCTATTTCACAGAATCATTTAGGTTGGAAAAGACCTCTGAGATCAAGTCCAACCTTTGACTGATCACCATCTTGTCAACTAGACCACAACACTAAGTGCCACATCCAGTCTTTGTTGAACACCCTGGGGATGGTGACTCTACCACCTCCCTGGGCAGCCCGTTCCAATGATTAACAACCCATTCAGTGAAGAAATTCCTCCTGATCCAACCTGAACCTCCCCTGATGCAGCTTGAGGCTATGTCCTCTCATCCTGTCACTAGTTGCCTGGGAGAAGATGCCAACTCCCCCCGGTTACAACCTCCTTTCAGGTAGTTGTAGAGCAATAAGGTCTCCCCTCAGTCTCTTCTTCTCTAGGCTAAACAACCCCTGTTCCCTCAGCCACTTCTCGTATGAATTACCCTCTAGACCCTTCACCAGCTTTGTTGCCCTTCTCTGGACATGCTCCAGCACCTCAGTGTCCTTCTTGCAGTGAGGAGCCCAGAACTGGACACAGTACTCTAGGTGTAGGACACACTCACCAGTGCTGAATATAGAGGGACACTTCCCTGGTCCTGCTGACCACACTATGCTGTGTGATGGCACTCAAGATGATCTGTTCCATAATGTTGCCAGGCACTGAGATCAGGCTGACAGACCTGTAGTTCCCTGGATCCTCTTGTAGATGGGTGTCACATTGTCCAACCTCCAGTCATCTGGGACCTCCCTGGTTATCCAGGACTGCTGATAAATGATGGAGAGCAGCTTAGTAAGCCCTTCCACCATCTCCCTCAATACCCTCAGATGAATCCCATCCAGCCCCATAGATTTATGAGTGTCTAAGTGGCTCAGCAGGTCACTAACTGCTTCCTCCTGGATTGCAGGGGGTCTATTCTGCTCCCTGTCTCTGTCTACCAGCTCAGGGGGCTGGTTGCCCTGAGGATAACTGGTCTTTCTGTTAAAGACTGAGGCAAAGAAGGCATTAAGTACCTCAGCCTTTTTCTCATCCTTGGTGACAATATTCCCCTCCATATCCAATAAAGGAAGGAGATTTTCCTTGGCCCTCCTTTTGTTGTTGATGTATTTATAAAAACATTTTTTATTGTCTTTCAGAGAAGTGGCCAGATTGAGTTCTAGTTGAGCTTTTGCTTTTCTAATTTTGCCTCTACATGATCTAACGACATCCTTGTACTCTTTCTGAATTGCCTGCCCCTTCTTCCAAAGGTCATTAACTCTCCTTTTTTCCCTGAGTTTCAGAGAAAGCTCCCTGTCCAGCCAGGCTGATCTTCCCTGCTGGCTCGTCTTTTGGCACACAGAGACGACCTGTTCCTGCATCTTTTTAAGATTTCCATCTTAAAGTGTGTCCAGCCTTTCTGGACCCCTTTGTTATTAAGGACACACTTAAAACACACGTGCATGTGCATATACATTCTGCAATGAAAGGCTCTATTTCTAGTTTTCCTTTAAAAGACAGGATGAGCTCTTAATATGTAACACGTGGTATGTCACATGCAAACTGAATAGCCATGCAACATCGTTTCCTATAATCATAGCTATCAGGTTGAGACTGGACAGATTGCTGTATTTTTTTAGGATGATGCTCTGACGCACAATTATGGAAGATGCTAGGTGTGAAATTAAAGTGATTCATATTCAATGGTTAATAAAGCTGGGGTTTATTTCCTCAGCTTCTAGCAAAATTCAATTTTAGTTATTCTGTATAGTATTTAACTTTCATTAATGTCCTTGGGCTTTGCATTTCATGATTCAAATAAATTGCTATCTGAGACTGGCTTCAAATATACCTTTAATCTCTAAACACACTTGGATTTGAACATCCACTTTGCGTTGGACACCTGTACTCAAGTTTAAATAGATGTAGATATTTATTTTTCATTCTGTTGGTAAGAAAACAGAATCACTGAATAACCTAACGGTTGTTTATATAATCTATATTTACTAGATTTTTTAAAACAAATATTAATTCATATGCACCAGAAATTACTTTATAGATGTCAGAACCTTAGATGTCACAACAACTGAAAAAGAGAGCTGATAGTCTTGCTTTCTAATTTTTCTTTTGATCTTTAAGATGGTTCCATGGGAAGATCTCCAAACAAGAAGCTTACAATTTGCTGATGACAGGTACTTTTATTTCAGATAGAAATACAATGGTAGGGGAATGAGACAAAGTAATCCTTTGAGACTGCAGGAAAACCTGGTTTTTTTTCTGTATAATTTTATGAGTATCAGATCTGTGGTTGCTACTACATTGGAAGAAAACCTCATGGCTAAATATTGAGTATTTTTTTATATTCTCAAGTACATTTAGCTTAAGAATTCTAATTGAAATAGCTTTTTTTTTATTATTTTTCTAATATACATAAATTTATTTTGGGCTTCATTAAAATGCTGAGGAGAAAATGCTGTTCACAGAATCACAGAATATGCTGAGTTGGAAGGGACCCACAAGGACCACTGAGTCCAACTCTTAGCCTTGCACAGGACCATCCCCAAGAGTCACACCATGTGCCTGAGAGCATTGTCCAAACGCTTCTTGAACTCTGGCAGGCTTGGTGCTGTTATGTACTTATGGGAAAATGTATTAAACTGCAGTCTCCTCATAGAGGAAATAATTTTAAAAATGAAAACATCAAGATTTCTGACTCATACTGTCAAATACCTTAAATATGAGAACAAAAATCTTTATTTTTTTTTTAAACATTGTCAAAACTCTCACATGCACACCATATGCTCTTGTAAAGAGGTGACAAAAGTTGGGGATAGGTTGTCAGCTACAGCCAAATGATTTGACATTAACTTTGACAGTTTAGTACTACTTCATCCCATTTGGGTGAAGAATGGGGGTCACTGTTGGAAATTACATCAGACTTTCTCCTTTAAGTGTGCAATTCTTGCTAATTTGTACAGAAAGAGCTTTTATAAGAGTTCATAAATTACGCTAAGTAACAGTTAATAACACTGTATTATGATATCTTTTCAGTTGGTCAGATGTGCAGTTTTCTTGTGAGGCCTTCAGATAATACACCTGGTGATTACTCACTTTATTTTCGGACCAGTGAAAATATTCAACGTTTTAAAATATGTCCAACATCAAGCAATCAGTTTATGATGGGAGGCAGATATTATAATAGGTAAGTTTTAATAACTGGGTGTATTTTATACTTCTGTAAAGAACTTTTATAACATATTGCTAACTTACTCATATGATCATAAGGTTTCAGTATTTCTTAAGGATATACTATGAGTTTTAACTAACTTGTTTAGTAGTTAGTTTTAACTAAATACATTCTAAAAACCTTCAAAAGCTTAGGTGTAATTTGTTTCTTTTGAAGTATTTTTCTCCTTCTGTAAATTATTTTCTTCACTCTATAAATTGGATTATGACATGTAATTAGGAGAATGCTGTGTTGTCTTGGAAACTACTATTTATTTAGGGAGTTTTGTGTATATGAAAGGGGAAAATTAAAATGTTAGTTTTATTGGAGATATTCAGTAGGGATTTTAAAGTATAAATAATAGAAATGGGTATTGACAACAAAGGGAAAAATAACCTTAATTGTTGAAAAAAGTAATTAAATTAATCACCTTAAAATATCTGAATGATATTTTGGTCAGAAGTGCAGATCACTGAATTTAGAGTGATGAAAGTTGGGATGGCTTTTTTTTGCCATGGGTATAAAAATATGGTAATACGTAAAAAAAAGAAATTACACAAAATAAGTTTACCCTTTCATGGGAAAAGTTATTAATAAAGCTCCATCCTTGAGTCTGTGACAACTCTGAATAAGGTTATCAAAATTTCTCAGTAGTGAAAACTCAACTTTCTCTTTTAATTGAGGCCATTGCCTGTTACGTGATCACAAATTTTCTGGTCTTGTTCACCCAGAACCAGGGCATTCTTCATCCCAATAGAGAATTTTTCTCAATTCCAGTTTGGCTTCTGAGTGGGTAGAGATCCAGCAGCTGGTGTGTCTGAGAAAATGTTGAGGTCTCCTAACTAAGAAGTTCAGTGGACTTCTTCATATGATTTCAAATGGACGATGGTTTGAGACTAAGCAATTGGAACTTTATTAACGTATGTATGTCCCACACACAGGCTGCTTGAGTACCTTCTACATTAATCAGTCTGGCCTCCAGACATCCTCATTGAAAATCAAGCTAGCTGCAGTGTCAGCCTTTGAAGGTAAATCCTCTTTTGCCCATTCTCTAGTTACATGGCGTATTAGGAGGATGATAGACTTCAGACACCCTAGGTGATAAACTAATTAAATTAGCAGAAGTCTTATTAGTCTCAAATGACTTTGCAACATTAGATAATATAGCTCCAGAAGCTTACTGCAATAAGTTATTACTTTAGGAAATTAATTTTCCACTACTGGATTCACTAGAGAAGATTCTTTCCTTGACATTGGATGGAAAACAAGATGAAAAGATTAAGCATCTCTAAGTTATGATAATATGCTTTTAGAGGGTTTTTTGAATATTTTGGTACCTAGGTTGCAAAGATCTTCCTCAGTGAAAGAGAACTTACTTGGCTTTGAAAGACTTCTAGTTTTAGTTGAATGTTTTGGGGAATTGCTAATATACTTTTAGGCTCAAATTCTGTCCAAGTTCATATTTACTGAAAGTCAATAAACTTGGAAGTTCAAACAGTATGTAATGCAGTATAATGATGCAAAATCAAGGTGGTAACTGCCCCAAATTACTTACCATAAGATCTACTGCAGAGGGCAATAAATAACAAGAAGAAAAAAAAGGAATAGATTTCTATGGGCTTTTTTAATTCTTGTATTGGTTTATTTGTTATGGACCCTGAAAGAAGGAAGTCTTTAAATATATGAAGACTAAGGTGGATTGTTGTATAGAACAGTCAGAAGTGGCTGAAAAGCATCAAACAGCATTAAATCCAGAACAGAAATATAGGAAGTAGGAGTTTATGCAAGATAATGAAATTATTTATGAGCATTTCTTGGGATAGAGAGAATATCTGCGTTTATTCTTTATAATTTATCTAAAAATGTAGAGTTTGTCTTCAAGGTGAAAAACTAGAGGTTAAAGAAGTGCTGCTTGTTTAAATGCATGCATTAAATAGTTTTCATTGGTCTTTTTTATTAGCTATTTCTTTAAATGCTCTGAAGGTATCTACTTTAAATCTGATACTAGTACTAGACTAAAACTTTAAAAAAAATCATCCTTGGTAGTAGTGTTGTTTCTCTTGAATATTCTTATTTTGCAGCTTTAATGATTTTAAGTGGGATTAAAAAAATGGATAAAACCAATCTCTTCTTCGCAGAGTATTGATTACAATTATAGCCACATAAATTATAGAACAAAGCTTTCCATACAAAAGTAAGAACCTGAAGAATATTTAGGAAACCAACTCAAAAGTTGACTATTGTTTTATTTCTCAGGTAATTTAAATATCCAGACATGGGACTGGAAGGCCTGCAACAAATATAAGCAATGCTATGTCTCTGACTATATTCCAAAAGCAAGATTAAACTATTTTGGGTGATCATGGCAAAAAATTCCTGGGTACATCTTGGGAATCTAGTGTTCTTTTATGCATAGGAAGACTACTTTTTCCACTAACCTTTTCCCTTTGCATGTTCACCCACTATTCTGTATATAAATTGCTCAAAACTTCTATTGATGAGTATAGCTAACAGACTGTATTTATACTCTCATATGGAGATTTGCTTTCATTATTATATCATCACTACAAACCAGACCATATGTAGTCTTTTAGTTGTTTATTTGAAGGTCCTAATATATAGGAAATGTTAAGTACATATTGAGTGAATTATTTTGATTAGATGATGAAATAGTATTTTTTCATGGACTTCAGTAAAGCATGTAACTTTTGTGAGTTCCCTGTTCAGCCAAGCTGATCTGCCACGCTTGCTTGACTTGCAGCACAATGGGATTGCCTGCTCCTGTACTTTTAAAAAGTGCTTCTTAAAAACTGACCAGCACTCATTGACCCCTAAGCCCTCAAAAGCAGATTCCCAGGGGACACTGCTAACTAGCTACCTGAATAGCCTAAAGTTTGCTCTCTTGAAATCCAGGGTAGCAACTCTGCTGACAGTTTTTCTCATTACACTGAACATTTTAAACTCAACCATTTCATGATCACTGTGACCATGACAGCCACTGACCATCCCATCTCCCACGAGTCCTTCTCTATTCACAAACAAGAAGTCTAGGAGGGCATCTTTCCTAGTCATCTCACTGACAAGAAGTTATCTTCCACAAACTTCAGGAATTTCCTAGATTTAATTGTTACAACAATATGGTATTCCCAGTTGATGTTAGGGAAGTAGAAAACTCCCATAAGGACAAGGGCTACTGGTCCAGAGATTTCTTCTAATTACCTGTAGAGTAACTCATCAGTGCTATCATCCCGATTGGGTGATTGGTAGTAGACACCTACTATGACAGCTGCTTTGTTTTCCATACCCCAAATCCTCACCCAGAGGCTCTCAACCACATCATCCCTAACTGTAAGGGCTGTACAGTCACATCTTTCCTTTACATACAGTGCAACTCCTCCACCTCGCCTGCCCTGTGTATCCCTTCTGAACTGCCCTTCATCCCAGCATTCCAACTGTGGGACTTGTTCTACCAAGTCTTGCCAATGGCATCATAGCTCTGGGAACTGACCAACACTTCCAGTTCATCCTGTTTGTTTCTTGTACTGCATATGTACAAGCATTTCAGATATGCTCCTAAGCCCTTAGTGCTCCCCAGAGCAACATAAATGTTGCCATTTAGCACTACCACCCTCAGGCAATGCCATGACAACCCTTGGCTTACCTTCAGCTCTCCTGTTGGGATCCCCTTCCCACACTGATTCTGGTTTAAAGCCCTCTCAATCAGTCCTGCCAACTTATAAGCAAGGAAGCATTTCCCCTGTCAGGACAGGTAGATCCTGTCAGGTCCCAGCATACCTTGTGTCTCAAAGACTTTTCCATGGTTATAAAAAACAACATTCTGGTAGAGGCACCAGTCCTGGAGCCAGGTATTGATGTCTTGAGTTCATCTGTTTCTTCTAAAGCTTCTCCCCCTTACTGGGAGGGTTGAGGAAAATGCTTGCTTTTGGAATATAGGCAGTATTACTTATATAGGTTGTGGAACTTCCAGTCCCATGTCTGGATATGCAAACTACCTGGGAAAGAAAACAATATTTGAATGTACGATACCACTTAATAATGTCTCATTTCTGATTTTAGGAAGTGGAGTACGATAGGCTTCTCTTTCTGTTTTCTTTCTGAAATCTAACCTTCCTAAGAGAGTTTTCAAAAAACCTTGAAAAATTTAGAAGGGGGGCAGCAGCACAGGGTGATGTATCTGGCAATTCCATGTCAAAGTAGAACATAAGAAACATTGACCTGACAGTTATACATTGAACAAACGTTCAAATTATTTTTAATTTGAGAGATAATTACAGACTAGATATTGACTGGAATTGTTTGAAGCCTTTTTTATTTTAACTGATAGATTAATCCATATTTTGATAGGCTGAACAATATGGACTTAACATGTTAATTCTTTTCCTTTATTATTTGATGGTGTATAGGGTAGTGTTCTGTCTCCTGGATTCTTCACTATTTGAAATGTCAGCAGCTGGAATAACCCTTAATCCACTCATTAAGTATTAAAAGACTGGTACTACTCATTATGATGAGATACTTTTAAAATTATCCAGGTAGCTAGGATCTGGTCAGCCAGATAAGCCCTATGGTAAACATATTACAATTACTAAAGTAACTGTAGTGCAGTATTGAGACTCATATTTATTTCTTTATATCAAACCATGTTTAACCATTCATTTTTTTAAATTCATACTTATTTATACCTTCCTTGATATACTTTGTGTAAGTAGGATTTTGTTGCTGTCAGATGCTGAAAAGATTTACAAACCCTTTTTTCCTGTCACTTAGATTCTTTTTGTGGTCTGTTTGATCTCATGCTTTGCATTTTACATGTTAGATAACTTGGATCACTTGCAAATTCATTCTCAAGTGTATTTGATGATATGTAGTATCTTTCTGTTTGTAATGTTTGGTTTGTTCAGTCATTTGGACTGCTTTAGTGGTAAGACAATAGACAATGACCATCTGAATTGACTTTGTCTGGGGGAGAAGAGGGCTAAAGCAAAAAAAAGAAAGCCTTAATTGCTCCATCCAGGTATAAAGTCCTAGTCTATATGTTACTCTAACTCCAAAATGAGTTTTCAAGCACAACTTAGTTTATTCTTCAGCTCATTTTACAACTTCTTATGTTGAGGGATGACTCCTGTTTTTTTAACCAAGGAAGGAAAGGAGATGCTGACAGTCAAGGTATTCTTGATTTGATGGAGGAGGAAAAAACTTGTATAAAGCTCCTTTATTATTGATTGCTGTCATAAAAAGATGTTTGCAATAGCCGCTCAACATGCAAAATACAAAGAGTGATTCTTTTATGCAGTGTAGTAAAGCTTAAATTTTTATGGAGAAAAGGGCATATGCATGTTGCATATCAATAAAAATTTAAATTTATTTGGTTTTTAGCAATACTGAGAAACTCAAGTCACATTACAAACTTGAAAAAAAAATGTTTACAGGAAGAATAATGAGTATGCACTAGTTCATAGCTTTAGAAGAATGAAATAGTGAATAAGCAAACTGATGTCTTTATTGTTTTAGTTACATGTATTTTATGATTGTTTTTATGATAATTTTTATAGTATCCTATATTTTTCCTTTGGACAAAATTTTATCTGAGTGTAATAGGCCAAAGTGTGCCTTATTGATTACATTTGCGCACACATCTAACAGTCTATATGAAGTGAGAAAACACATAATGTATGTTTTTGTTCTCTACTGAATTACTTAGTTCTTTATCTTCAGGTTGATATTTCATATGAATGTTTCATCTGTGTTGATTTAACTTCTCTTTATTACAATGTTACTCAATAACTGCAAAAATAAGAGCAATAAGAGCAATTCAAAGATATGTTGAATTTTAGATTGTGTTTGTCACTACTTCTCTCCTGATCCTTCAAAATAGAATTTAAACCTGACTCTGGTAATTGGAATGTAAGCTTAGCCATAGATGAATGTTACTGACTGGGTGTTTAATTTAACATGATAGCTCAGTATTTTGAAGTATAATCTGCATAATCCATGTTACAAAACTTTTTTTACCTCCCATTCCTGTCTTCCTAGAAAGAAATTGCTTTGCACAGTTTGAAGAATCTTCCATTCCCCTTCCCTAGTTACTCTAGGACTTTGAAAATTATTACCAATAAAATAGCAATTTTCAACCTGGTTGGAGAACTGGGAAATGCACGTTACTTGAATGTGGAAAAGGTAGCATACTCATTTGGCATTGTGGTGGGTTGACCTTGGCTAGCTGCCAGGTGCCCACCAAGACCCCCTCCAATCCCCACCTCCCCTCAGTGGGACAGGGAGAAAAATAACATGAAAACTCATGGGTCAAGATAAAAACAGTTTAACAAAGCAAAGCAAAGGTTACACACAGAAGCAAAGGAAAACGATTTTTTTTTCTCTTCTTCCCATCAGCAAGTGATGTCCAGCCACTTGCTGGGAAGTAGAGCCTCAGTATACAAAGTGATTGCTTTGGAAGACAAACGGCTTAATAATGAATGCCCCCCACCTTCCTTTCTCTTAGCCTTTATTGCAGAGCACAATGCCATATGTTATAGGATATCCCTTTGTTAATTTTGGGAAAACTGTTCTGGCTATGTCCTCTCCCAACCTTTTGCCCACCCTCAACCTATTGGCCTTTGAGGAGTGGGGTTGGAGAGACAACCTTGATGCTGTGTAAGCACTGCTCAGTAGTAGCCAAAACTGGTTGTTTATCAACAAGTTTCTAGCTAAAAGTACAGAGCACAGTACTGTGAGGGCTGCTGTGGGGAAAATTAACTCCATCCCAGACAGACTCAATACATGCATTTTCAACAACTGATTGAAAATATTCTGTGAAGTTTAGAATAAATACATTATAATAACAGTTCTGTGAATTTTCTTGACTTCAATGTATTAGTAGATTGTCATTGCTGCAAATGAGATTATGATGTTTTCCACTTGATTTTTATTATAAATTTGTGAGGAAATATAGTATCATTGAATGTCTCATACAGAGGAAAATCTAACTGATTTAACATTTTAAATCTTATTTTTCTTATTTAAACAGCATTGCTGAGATCATTGAACATTATAGAAAAGAACAGATTGTTGAAGGATATTACCTTAAAGATCCTGTTCCAATGCAGGTAAAACTTCATCTCTGAGCACTTGTTATTGAAGTATTGACTTAATCCTCAAATATTTATAATATAGGAACTGAATTGCAGCAGAGGTATCCATGGTAGTTAAACAACATCATCCCCTCCTGAATTTTTGAGTTTGTCTTTCTTTAATTTCATCCTCATATTTATTTTTTTATTTAAGGTTGGCTTGTAGCAAACAGAAGTTATAATAAGCTTTGTCTGTGCTCTGGGGTGTAAATGCTTCATCTTGTGCCCCTAACTCTGGTCCCTGAACTAGACTGCTCTCCATTCTTCTGTGTCTAGTGACTTTCTTCCCCCAGAGAAAATCCATATACACAGAAAAACTTCAGAGATGATCAAGGGGCTGGGATTTACAGGGTGTTTTCAGGAACATTGTCACCCTGTAGCATAAATTCATCCTAAGAGACCACTGATAATAAACAAACCATATTGTCTAGTTTTTCATAAAGTTTAACTAGTTCAAAAGTGTATTTTTATACTTTGTCCTTATCTATTCTCCACCTTTCCTGTTTTGATGGTTAGAAATTTGGTTTTAATTTCTAACCTAAATAGTTACCCCTTTGTTAGATCTATTATATTAATTCAATATGTATTCTTATTTACTCAGCTCACTAAGCTGAGCAAACCAAATCTGGATTTTGTCTCTTCATAATGTTTTTGTAGTTGCCCTCTACCACCGATTCCAGTGTGAGTTTGTGTTTCTTAAATGTAATGGACCAGAACAGTGCAGCATACCATGTCAGTAATTTCTTTTTTCTGTGAGAGTGTTTACCAGATTGCAGAATGTTATCTGTGTCATTACTGTAGCCACATTGTATTATATTGTTTTCTATTGGTAAGTATCAACAAGTGCAAATTTTATCTTGTATTATTAGACTTATGCCTTATTGCTGATTGGCTTGTCATCAATGCTTCCCAGTTGTCTGCTACTATTAATTCATGCTCTTTAATGTGGTTGAGACAAATGTGAGGAAATTGAATTCAGAGACTGATCCTTGAAAAGCTTCATCTAATAACTTTCCTTGTTCTCCATCATTTTTTTTGGATTATGGCGATCATCTTTCTTTTGGCACTTTGTATATCCACTTATGGTTCCTGTATCAATAACTCTCTCTCTGTGTTGAATAATTTTCCATGTGAGACTGCATCAAACTATTTTAAATTATTCAGATATATTTGTGACTTTCCTTTGTTTAAAAAAAAGTTATTGGTGGTGTAATTACCACATATTGTCATACTCTGTTTTTGAAGAAAAAAATTCAGAAGTCTTGTGTACTGTTTGGTTTAATCTAATAGATTTCCTGTTTCTAATTTTGAAATTTACTTTAAAAGATTTTTCACTAGATCTGTTGTTTTGTATGTTGTTTCTTTCATAGTATGTTGTGGAGATTATACTGAGTTAGTAAAAACTTGGGTATTGTTTCAGTTGTCAGTCCTGCAATTCCTTTTACCGAAATGTTTTTCATCTTGCCTTTGTCATGTTGTTCAAAACCATGATTCTTATGGATATGTGGGAGGGAAGATAAGAGAGAAAAGCAAAGTATTTAGTATGGAGCTAGTGCATATATTACTTCAACTTGATACTGTTGTCACTGCTTGATAGTCTTGCTTTTCATGTTTTTTTATGGCTAAAGAAATTTTGCTGATCAGCTGACTAGGTAAGGTCAAACTTGGCTTGGCTTTTGACCATTATAGCTGGATATTTATATTTCCAGATCTTAGTTTTCTATGTGAATTTATCCTTTTTCTATGTCCTGTTTCTATTTTCTCCTATTGCTTTTTGTTAGAATTATTTAGGACATGAGTGCTAATAAGATTAGTGAGGAACTGTGCAACATTGTGTGTTAATTCAGTTTTTATTGTAATCTATACCATTCTTGTTGATTCAGAGTTTATCATTTATTGCTCAGTCCCAAAATCCTTGGTAGAAGACAGAAGCTAAATAACCTTTGAAGATTTGTGTAAATTTTTCTTAAATCGCTGAAAGATACTGCTTTCTATTTATTATTTAAAAAATAAATACAGATGTTACTCTTTGAAAGTTGATCTGTATTTAAACCTTATTTTTATTCTCATATTATAATTGTGGCCTAATAATTCCACAAGAAATAGTTATATTACATTTCTGGCAAAGGTATTGCTTTAAATTATATTGGTTTGTTAAGACACATGAGAGAATAAAGAATTGGTAGCATTCAATAAAATTTCAGTTGCAGCTTCATAGTATGCAATTGTTTCACAGTGATTTCTGAGATTAAAAAAAATGTTGATTTTTTCCTTGTTGACCAGCATCAAGAACAAGTGTTTAATGATACAGTGGATGGAAAAGAAATCTATAATACAATTCGTCACAAAACAAAGGATACTTTTTATAAAAATATTGTCAAAAAAGGATATCTTCTGAAAAAAAGTGAGTTCTGTTTGATTTTATGAAATATTTTTTTCTAAAGAATGGAGATATGGATGCATATTTTGTGTAGTAGTGGTAATAGTGGAGTCAAAATTGAAGTGAGCAAAAGGTGGTAGAAAGCCTGTAAAGGGTATGAAAGGTTCTTTTTCCTTAAGAAGTACATAAATAGAAAGACATAATACATAAAATGACATGCAATAGAAAGATGTTGATTGGTGATTCTTGCCAGAAAAATCAGAAAACAGCATGAAAACTAAGCACTTTTTATCAAAGTTTGCATTCAGACTCAAATGAAGTACACATTCATAAAATGTATTTAAATTCAATACACAACTTGTTTAAATGTAGGTGGATCATATGAGTTAAAGAGAACTAGATTAATGTAAATCAGTACATTTGTTGGAGACCAAAGCTGGTTAAATTTTGTTATTTCAAGTTAGGTAATAAGTTTAATTTAAAATGTGTATTCTGGTGTACAAGGTATATTGAGACTTTTTTAAAGGCTCTAACACTGGCACAGTCAACATAGCATAGAATTATTGGATTAATAACTGCCTGACTCATCTCAATATATCCCTGAAGAATTATCATTGAACAAAATTTTGAAGTTCTGAGGAAGTTAATTCCTTTCCAAGTGTCATGATTTTAGTTTTTCCTGTTTCCACTAAAGTCAATTAAAAAAAAATAATAAAAAACCCCATCAATAATGTTTCTGCGTATGACAAAGACAGTAGCTAAATCGATAAGTACCAGATAGAGATCTGGATAGTAAGCAAAAGTGAGAAAGAAGGTAAGTATTTAAATATAGCCAAATTTAAAGATGCATTGAAAGGAAATAAAAACTAGATCCTCTGAATAAAGCCAGAAAAGCATCTCTTGAGAGTGCTAATTCTGAGAGAAGTTGTGGTAGGGTGAGGAGTCAACTGAGAATGAAGTGAAAATCTTTACCTAAAAAGGATAGAGATAGTTTAAATGTGCAAGCAAGAGTACTGAATAGATGTGGAGATGCACATACCTGCATACAAAACACAAATTTAATAAAATCACTCTTCCATCTAGTTGAGTATAATAAATGGATTTTAAAGTTACTTTTCCAAAACAGTGAGCACTAGTGCTTGTTTATGAAGGGCTGTGGTGGATCTATGATGATCAAGTTGAAAATTAAGGCTGAATGTTTTTCCAAAATGTACTGTGGTTTCTATATGAGTTAGTTGCATAAAGTTCCTTATCAATTGTATTAAGTGGACATTAAACAGCAAGTGATTTTTTTTTTGGTTTAGTCAGTGGCTAAATCCACATTTTACTGGTACATCTAATGTGTCTTCCAACAAACTTTGACATCTAAATCTCCGGTTCTTAACATTTTTTAAAGTGGTTTTTTTTTTTTCTGAAATGTGAAACTGGCCAAATTTTTTGATATATGTGTATTTGGGGCATGGTTCTGATCCAACTTTGCATATATTGTATTCCCATTTCTGGTTTTTAGTCATTTTGATTTAAGATATTGAGATGCAATTTGTTATGCTGATAAGTTGGTAAGAGTTTAGGAATAATTTTCTCACGTCAAGAGAAATCTGTTTCTTAATTAAAATAGCCATAATAAATTGGATTACTTACAGCATCACGCATTATTTGCTGACTGTATAGATATAGTCTTCTCACTGATATGGATGGAACTCATATGTACTTGTTTAATCCTGTTGAGATTAATGAAAATATTTAGTGAACCATCTAAAATTGTACTTGAATCTGTGAAGAGGGTCTAGTTTTAGCTACATGCTGAAAAAAATTGAGTATATATACTGATATTACTTAAGCATGATTAACTGTACGTTGTTCTTCTGTTTGCATTTTGACAAACACCTTACTACCTGCATTTTCTTTAAAACAGTACTGTAACTTCTTACTTGCTTTCCTTACAGGTAAAGGAAAGAGATGGAAAAACTTGTACTTTATATTGGAGGGAAATGATGCCCAGCTTATTTATTTTGAAAGTGAAAAACGAGCCACAAAACCTAAAGGATTAATAGACCTTAGTGTGTGTTCAGTCTACGGAGTACACGACAGTTTATTTGGCAGGTAGGGCACTGGCTTTTTAATTCTTGTACATGCAGCAGGACAGTAACTACTAGTTTGAGGCATATACAAGATACAAACAATATGTCACTAATGAGCAAGTTGGCCCGGCACAATAAACTTGCTTTTTGACACCTGAGCCCTGGTAACTGTCCACGTGTGGGGTTTTTTAGGTTGTTTTGGGTTTTTTTTTAGTTCTTGCTGATTGTTAAATGCAAGTATTGTGACTCTTGTTTCATATTGCATTTTATTCCAGAGTTGGTGTAGATTGCAAGAGCATATGTAGACAAATTTAACTAATTAATGGTAACTTAAGCCATGGTAACTTGATTTCTAGTAGCTGTTTGTAAACAGTTTCTCGTAAGAAATTTTGGAACTTAGTCTGAAGATTTTCTCATGTAATATGATGGGATAACAATTTGGTATTTTGCACTGTCATTTTTCAATATTGTGTATTAATTGTTCCACATGTATTATAGACATTAAAAAGATCACAAAACAACTGTATTGAGTGTTTTAATCCTATTGAACCAAGAATTGATAAGATCAAGAACTTTGTCAGTTCCAAAAGATCTGCATTCTTTTGTTGACAGATATTAGAAAGTTAAATTAGTTAGATAACATATCAGTGCTTTTCTATTTAGGAATCAATAAGAATCAGATTAGACCAATGTTAGAGCAAAAAGTTATTTCATATAAGCAAACATTTTAAAAATTATTTTTGCAGGAGAGCATTTTCTCAATTTCACTTACTGTACTAAATATGTCAACTGCAAGTGATGGGATTATTGGCAAAGATGTTGAGAATCAAACCACTTCCTGGTATCATTGATTACTAAGATCAGAGATCACACTTTTTTTTCATTGTTAATTACAAAAAAATGTGTGGTCCTGTGGGATATAGAAGAAAAAGATGCATTTACTCCTGCAAATGTTATTTTTTCATAACAGATAGAAAAACATTAAACAGAAACTCTGGTTATTCCATGCATCTTAACATTTATTAAAAGTCTTTAATCAACTTTAAGTCTTTTCACAGAGATAATACAAAGATAGATGTTTAAAATTAGTGGCATTTCTTAAGCTGCAAAGATCTGTTGTTCTTGTACCATCTGATTTTTATACATTTCTCAATCATTTTGAAAAATCTGCACAACTATTGCAATGAGGAGCCATAGATATGAGAGTACCATTTAAAAAAATCTGTATTTATATGTTCCTCATGAAAGTTCACAATTATGCGTGAAGCTTTGGCAGACACTGTAAACAGGGAATGTTTTGGTTAATGGTGACTGTTGAGCAGCTTCTAAGAAACACTTTACCATGGGTTAAAATGTATTCAGATAATAAGTAACACTGAAAGTGTTGGTAGAAGGAGATGTATGATTGCACCTGCTTGGGAAAGCTATTGATGAAGAACTGTAGTTGAGACAAAATTCCTCTTGTAGTTTTTACCACCTACTTAAAATATTTTTCCCCTTTTCTCAGAAGTACAGTGAGGGCTGTAGCTTTGCATGTCTTTGACAATAATTTGAGTAGCCCCTGACCCAGCTACTTCTTGATCCCCTCCTCAATCCTCCTGTGGGCATGACCACAAAATGCCATGCCAGTAATTACTTAGTCAGTGGATGAGGGGAAGACTGAAATATCATTTGCAAGTGAAGCAAGATCCTTCATGTAACTCTGTTTGGGAGAGCCAAATTCCCTTGAAGGTAATGTGTGGAAGACTGTGAATCAAGTGTGCACATAAAATGGCAAAGATGTTATAATCACATTTAAAGTTTTAAAAGTTTATATGACATATATTCGATCATGATCCACTATATGTTTTATTGGTTGTGGGAGCTGTGGAATACATTCAGATAAAGAATTCCTTATGTTAATATAGTTTCCTGAACTCCTAAAACAGTAAATACATAATGCATGATTAAGTGGTTTGAATCTAATGCTGAATCTGTACATAATTTAAAATGTTTGTGGTGAATAGTCCTCATAAAAGACTTGTTAATGTTATCAGGTGCATTTTGCCTCAACTGTAAGTCAGGGTACATGCATATTCAATACAAACTATTCCAAGTTTCTTAAATATTCTGAAGCAAACTAGGTGAACTGCAGTGCAGTTTTGTTGAAATTACATAATTCATTCCAACCAAAATGCACTTTTGAAGCATGTAGAGACTTTTCTTGGTTTTTTCCCAACATTTTTGTTTTGTTTGTTTTTAAGGCCAAACTGTTTTCAGATAGTAGTTCAGCACTTCAGTGAAGAGCATTACATCTTTTACTTTGCAGGAGAAACTCCGGAACAAGTACAGGTGAGAGCTTTTGTTGGTAAATATAATTTTAAAAGCAATTTTTTGTTTTGTAGTGTTTAATGATACTATCCTTCTCTAATAGAAAGCCAACGTGCAACAGATGGTGGCTATGTCTACATTAGCATATATTACCACGCAAAAGTAGCAGATCTGTAAGGGATATAGTTAGTGCTGATAATCCAGCACCTACATTACCTATGCATTAGTGATTCTACTTTGGACAATTTCTAGTCTGGTCCTATAGACTGAACTTCCATTAGTTTCCATTAGATATTTCTGGAGAATATATTTTGGAGAAGTTCAATGCAAAAATAATTGTTTGCTCTCCAACACTTTTCCAAGTAATGAACCAGAGCATGGTAAGTGGGAATTTTGCTTCAAGAGCACATTCCTGATAAGAACAAAAGTGCTAATGCAGGTATGCCCACCAATCAAAATCTGTCAAGCCATTTTCCTGTTCATAACTCAGTCATTCTTTAGGGTCTTAGGCTCTGATCTTGCACAAAAAATAAGGGGGGGTTGTGTTTTACATTGGTATCAGTTATTAACTCTCTAACAGTTAATGTTTACTGATTAAGAAATGTAACAATGGAGTTTAATTCTCTAAAAGTCACCAATAGGAGAGCATATGGAAGATGTGACTATGTTCTTATTCATGAAATTATTTTGGTATTCCAGAGCTCTGAAATAGACATTTTGTGTCAGAAGTTAAGCTATGCATTTGATTTTATTTAAGAATGCATTTGATTCTATTTAGAATGTGTAGTAGGCAGAATATTGTCGGGACAGGCAGAATATCCTGTCCTGTTTTCTGAACATTTGGTTTAATCTGCTTTAAGATTTGCTAAACACTTAAGATGTTCACTGCATTTATACAGAATACTGGGATTTCTTATATAAAATGATTCTGGTTCAGTAAGTCAGATGTTTTACTGATGCTTCTGTTCTCAGAAGTTACAGCTGTCTGTACTTTGTAAAATTTCACAGAAGAATAGTTTTGTTGGCATACTAAGAAAAATTTGATGGTTTTCATATAATGTGGTAAATATCAAAGCAGCTCTCCAATGGATTGCATGTTGTCTGAGGTTTGTACAAACCATTAAGTGAATGTAATGTAGAGTGTTAGCCTCATATGCTAGTGTCATTATGTGTACTATGGTGCATTGTTCATACTTGCTGCTGTGAACTTTAAGGGGATAGGTTTTCCTGTTACCAGGGGGAATAAAGATGACTGTATCTAGGAAATATTTAGATTAATTTAGAGTGTTTAGTAAGTTCTATGGTTCTCTATTTGCTTTTTCTTATTTGAATAAGAAAGCAAGCTAATAAAAATTTGATGCATAGTTGACAGTTCCTCCTTTTGTGGAAGGTTTCGAAAGCCTAAACTTTACTCCCAAAGTGGTTTACCTGAGAATAGCTACAATATAGAAAGTACCTATATTTTAAAAATTAAATTGTACTTTGAGAGTAGGTAGCAGATATTTGAGCTATATCTTTATGAATGTTAGTCAAAACCCAAATTTCATGCTTCATGAGAACTTAAAAAATTTGAGGGGGTGGCATGTGAAAACATGAGAAATGTGGCTATAACATCTTCCACCTTCCCAAGTATCTACTATGCTTTATGTATTTGTGAGGAGGGATAATGGGGGTGAAGGTTATACTTTTCAGTGTTTTTCTGTTCATGCTGCTTTGTTTTTTGTTTGAAGCATATGGAGTAAATACAACTGCATATAAAAATAGAGGAGAGAACGATCAGAAAAGTTTGACTTTGTTATTTTCTCAGAAACATCCAAGTCTTGCTTCATTTTACATACCGTTTTTTATTTGACTAATCTGGAAAATTGATAAAGGTCACACTCTATATCCATTAGTAATGTTTGATATCTCTAAAAGAGAAACTTTCAGATTTGCAAATGTCTATTTAGCTTTACTGAGACCTATATGAATTTTGTTTTACTACTCAAATTTTCATACTTTGAGTTGCATATAAATTGGTTCTTTTTAAGCTTAAGAAACAACTTCAGATACTTTTTGATATGTCAGTTCTACTGCTACCACTACTAAGCTGAATCTGACTTTTTGTTACACTATTTTGTGCCTTTATCTCTTAGGACTGGATGAAGGCTCTGCAGATGTTTTGCAGTTTAAGAAAAAACAGTCCAGGGATGTCAAATAAACGCCTACGTCAGGTGAAGCTATATAGATATGGGGGGAGAGGGAGAGAGGTTGCCTCCTTGTTGCAAAATGATGATGATATATCTCAGAATTTTCCATTCAACAATAGTAAATCCCGAATGTACTTTCTTTTTCTTGGAGTTATGCAGTACCTTTGATAAAGCAACGGGAATGACTTCCACTCCATTATAATACCTATACACAAAAAACAAAATGGTTTTTAGGCAATTGGCAGATGCTTTGCTAGGTATTAATTTCTGATCACATTTGAGTAAAAGTGTCAACAATTCAGCATTTGTATTGTCTTACTCTTACAATTCAGCAGATTTGACAGACTTATGTCACATGTAACCAAAATAATATAACTAATATTATTCATTTTTCAGTGACAAATACGTGCTGAACTGTGACTATGGCATAATTTCTTTTGGTTTCTTGAGAGTACTGTTGTGGCCAGAATTTCTTTCAGAGGTAAAGGAGAGATATTCGTAAATGACTGTGTAAGTGATGATTGAAGAATAACAGGAATCAAGAATCCCTGTTATCTTTGAATGCTATAATGTTGGAAGTAGCTGTTTTACCAGTCTATAGGAAAAGGAATACATTTTATTATTTTTTTTTAGGAAACGCAGAATTATTCTGTGGTCAACATTAAAGGTGATTGAATACTTCTGAAGGACTAAACTAAATTAGGTCAATTGATATATGAACTGGAAGAAAAAATTGGTTGGGAGCCAAAAAAGCGAAGCACCTACAGAGTGATCATCTGAAATAATTCTGCACTTGCAAACACAAAGCTAATATTAGGCTGCATGAAGGAATAGTATAGAAGATAGATGCAATTTAATATTTATGGCATTCTCATTTAGGATACAGTTAGTTTTGATCATCTTAAATGTATAAAGAATTTGAGAAAATTATTTTCATTATAGACTGAAATGAGTAAAATAATTTCCAAGGAAATAAGTGTGGCAAGTATTGGACTATTTAGAGAGGCGAAAAGTATAAAAAGCATGAATAATCAAGGTAGATTAAGTGTATAAAGATCAAAAATCATACTTCCATGACTGTCTTACAGAAGTTATATTAGTTTCAGGGTTTCTCGAACTGTCCTTTGAAATTTCTGATACTGAATGTTTGGATTTAAATGAAATATTGACCTGATCAAGTATGATATTTCCTGTATTTGACTAAATTTACTTCAGTTGATATCAGTAGATATTTGATTAAGCTATGAATTACATGCAATTCAGAAGTTTGTGAAATAGTAGACTATTTAAAATGTATTTAATGTAAATGAGTTCAGAATGTTCACTTCTCATTTTTTGAGTTTTCAAGTGCTCTTATTTTGAGAATCTATGGTACGGACTAATATCTTCCTTAGGGAGAAAACAGTGTAGTGTGTTAAACAAGGGAGGTTTATACAATCTACTGTTGTTTAGAATAGAATAGATTATAATATTTTAGTTGAAAGTGACCTAAAATGATCACCCAGTCCAACACCCTGATCAATTCAGGGCTGACCAAAAGTTAAAGCATAGTATTAAGGGCATCATCCAAATGCCTCTTGAACACTGACGGGCTTGAGACATTGACTACCTCTCTAGGAAAAACCTGTTCCCAGTGTTGGACCACCCTCTCGGTAAAGAAATGTTTCCTAATGTCGTCTGAACCTGCCCTGGCACAACTTTGAATCATTCACACATGTCCTATCATTGGATAGCATCTCCTTCTCCACTTCCCCTCCTCTGGAAGCTGAAGAGAGCAATGAGGTTGCTCCTCAGCCTCCTTCCCTCCAAACTAGACAAAATGAGTCCTCAGCCACTCCTCACAGGACATTTATTCCAGCCCTTTCACCAGCTTTGTTGCCCTCATCTGGGCACATTCAAGGACCTTTACATCCTTTTTAAATTGTGGGGCCCAGAACTGCACACAATACTCAAGGTGAGGCTGCCCCAATGCTAAATACGGAGTGATAATTGTCTCTTTTAACCAGCTGCTTATGCTTTATTTGACACACCCCAGGATGTGGTTTACCCTCTTGGCTTCCAGGGCATACTGCTAATTCCACTTGAGCCTAATCTGTTAGGAAAGCACGAAATATAGCATTGCGTTTGGATTTGTCCATGGTTCTTACTTAAGATACAAGTCTTTGACTTCAGTAGAATTTTCTATGCATAGAAAAGTTAGTATTTACAAATCTTAAAATGATGGTTTTGAAAGTAAAAAATAAGTTAAAATTATGGTGCTGGAGGTTTATTTTCAAGTTGTTGCTCTTAATTTGTCCCTGGTGTTTCTTAAAATCTTGTTTCATTATTCCTTAACATTAAGCCTTCACAGGGGGGGATTCCATTCTTTCTTAAATAAATAAATAAATGTTGTGTATTTTCTTTAGGTCAGCAGTCTTATTTTGCATGTAGAAGAAGCTCATACGCTCCCAGTAAAACATTTTACTAATCCGTATTGTAACATCTACCTGAACAGTGTCCAGGTAGCAAAAACACATATCAGGGAAGGACAGAACCCTGTATGGTCAGAAGAATTTGTCTTTGAGTAAGTTTTACTCTTATTGAATTAGTGAATTTCACTTGAAAGTTGCATTGCATTTAAGATTCTTTGCACTGTACTACTTTGTGTATGCTTTTAAAAAGTACTGTATGCATGGTTATACAGGAGTCACAAATGCATGGATAGAACTTTATGTATGCATCTAAGTATCTTTGTTAATATGATTGTCTTTTGCTGGTCATGAGAACTCAGGATTGAAATAACTTTGGAATAAATTTAAGTATTGGTCAAGTATAGTATTAATTGAGGCTTTTTGTCTTTTCCCTCAGCGATCTTTCATCTGATATTAATAGATTTGAGATAAGTCTTAGTAACAAAACAAAGAAAAGTAAAGATCCAGATATATGTAAGTATTTTTATGTAAAAGATGCATATATATTGCAACAATGAATACAGTTTTCATTGCTCTGTCAAATATTGTCACAAGAGAATTAAGTATATTCTGCGACTATCACACAGCTGTATTGGTATGTTTTAGATGTCTATTACTGACTCGAATGTTTTTACAATAAGAACCTGCATGTCTTTTAGTAGTAAAATAGTATCTGATGGCTTTTCTATCTATCTGTATTCCAGTATACCTATTGTGTTATACTGTGACCATTTCGTTTTTTCAAACGAAAAAAAAAAGAGCAGATGTCAGAATTAATCTCCTTCATACAATGTTAAATTTCATTAATTTCTTTATTTTGTTTTAAGCCCAACTGTGTGGAATTACTTTTGTGATTTTTGTTGCTTCCAGTGAGAAAGAGGGAAGAACAGTAGTACTTTCCTAACTTGAAAAAAAAAAAATTCCAACTTGACAGTCTGTAGAACAAAATTTGCCTCAGTCCTTGTAGCATCCTGTTTTTACCCTTATTCTATCTTATCTGTGTTCCCAGGAATTTACTTTCCTCCTGTTATGTACACAGCTTCTTCAGCTGTTTTGTTTCTATTTTTCTATTCCAGAAAACTACTAGCAAGATGGTAAGACTTATCAACTTTCAAAAAAGAACAACCCCTCCCCCCAAAAAAAACCCAGCTCACCAAAACAAACCCTCACCCAAAAACCCACACTTGAATTCTGAGCCACACAATGTGGTTTTTTGGTTTTCAAGATATTTTCTTTCCCATCACAACTGTCTTGTAACTTCATCCTTTTGCCTCCTCTGTTGCCTGCAGAGCAGACACCCTCTCACCCAAGAGTTGTTCCAAGTACTTTTGTGTTCAGACCTGTCCCAAAGCCTAGCACAGTATTTATAATCTGTTGCTGTTGGTTTTGGTTTGCATGTATTGTGTTACTGGTCTGTTGTTTGTCTCATGTCTTAATTTCTTTTTTTTTTCCTCTCAGAGAAGAGATTTGTAAGGAAACTTTGACCAAAGTAGAAGAATTACTATGAAGACTGAATGCTCTTGCCAAACCTAATTCAATTTCAAAACTGTTGCACTTTCCTCTAGCTAGAAATTTTTCTGCATAGCAGAAGGAAAAAAAGATGTGTTTCATTTGACAGACAGAAGGACTTTCTAATTGCTGTGTTATTGCATGGTTTCTATGCATTTGAGCTAGAAAATTCTTTATTTGGTCCAAAACTTTGGTTAGTACAAGACCCTTTCAAAGGATAATTCATGAATGGAATACTTTGATAACTTCTTTTAAAGTGTTTTTTTAGTTTCTTTCTCTCTGTGCAGATTAAGGAGACTGTGCTACTTGTAGATGTATCCAACTGGTGGAAGGTTATAGATCCCTTTCTTATCTAGGTCAAGAGGATTGGCAATGTTTCTTGATCATAGTTAGGTAGACTCTTAAAGTCCTTTCATTTTGGGATAAGGAATAGACCCTATCAACTTGAATTAACAAACATCTCTGCCTACATCCCCATCCCTATTAAATATTTGAAGTATATGAGGAGAAAAACTGAGCTTAACAAGACCTTATCATAGAATCATAGAATTAGTCGGGTTGAAAAGGACCTCTGAGATCAAGTACAACCCTTGATCCACTACCGCCGTGGTTACTAGACCATGGCACTGAGTACCACATCCACTCTCATCTTAAAAACCTCCAGGGACGGACAATCCACTCCCTCCCTGGGCAGCCCATTCCAATGCCTGATTATCCTCTCTGTAAAGAATTTCTTCCTAATATCCAACCTAAACCTCCCCTGGCAGAGCTTATCCAACTTGCCTGTGTGCTATGTTGCCTAAACCTCCAAAAGCAGGAAAACAGGTTGGTTACCTCTCTGAACATTTCTCCTTTGTAGCCACAGTTATTAAATGTGGATTGCTCTGAAGTAGGAGTAATGTGAGGTCTATATTTTTTCAGTATTTGTGGTAAGTTGACCTTGGCTGGTTGCCAGGTGCCCACCAAGTGGCTCTCTCACTCCCCCTCCTCAATGGGACAGGGGGAGAAAATAAGATGAAAAACTCATGGGTCAAGATAAAGACAGTTTAACAAAGAAAAGCAAAGGCTGCATGCAGAAGCAAAGGAAAAGAAGATTAATTCTCTATTTCCCATCAGCAAGCAATGTCCAGTCACTTCCTGGGAAGTAGAGCTTTCAGTATGCATAGTGCTTGCTTTGGAAGACAAGTGTCTTAATAATAAATGCCCCGCTCCTCCTTTTTCTTAGTTTAGTATTCTTCTTAGTATTTCTGAGCACAACACCATGTGTTATGGGATATCCCTTTGGTCAGTTTGGGTCAACTATCCTGGCTATGTCATAGAATTGTAGAATGGCTTGGGTTGGAAGGGACCTCAAAGATCATCTAGTTCCAACCCCTCTACCGTAGGAAGGGACAGCTTTCACTAGACCAAGTTTCTCAGAGCTCCATCCAACCTAGACTTGAACACTTCCAGGGATGGGGCATCCACTACTTCTCTGGGCAACCTGTTCCACCTGCCTCACCACCCTCACAATTAAGAATTTCTTCCTAATATCCAATCTAAATCTACTCTCAGTTTAAAGCCATTACCCCTTGTCCTATTTCTACACTTCCTGATAAAGAGTCTTCATTATTCCTGTAGGCTCCTTTTAAGTACTGGAAGGCTGCTATAAGGTCTTCCCAGAGCCTTCTCTAGGTTAAGCAATCCCAACTTTCAGCCTTTCCTCATAGGGGAGCTGCTCCAGCTCCTGATCATCTTTGTGGCCTCCTCAGGACCTGCTCCAGCAGGTCCATGTCCTTTTTATGCTTGGGGCCCCAGAGTTGAACACAGTACTCTCTCTATGTGGAGTCTCATGAGAGCAGAGTAGAGGGGGAGAATCACTTCCCTCGACCTGCTGGCCATGCTGTTTTTTATGCAACCTAGGATACAATTGGCTTTCTGGGTTGCAAGGGTGCCTTGCCTTTGTCTCTTTCAGATAGTTTGTAATTGCAGTAGTGCCACAGCTTGGTTTTTAAGTTATTTGAGAATATGCAGCTGAAGGACAAAAAATGTCACTGTGATACACATATATCACTTCTGTGACAGTGGGAAATAAGCCTACTATGGCAGGTTATATACTTGGTTCCTTCTGTCCCTTATTCTTCAGGCAATATGTGCTAAACATATTAAGTACTGTACGTAAGTACTCTTGTATCAACATGGGTGGACTTTGAACAAGGGGGAGAAACTATGGAGCCTATCAGGTACTTGTTAATGGTAGTAACAACATACTGTCTACCAACACTAAATATGAAAAATAAGATGTTGGCAGCCCCTTATTTGAAGAACAAAGTGTAAGAGGTTTCAGTCCTTAACAACTCCTCACTGCCTTGTAAATGGATTGTGCTAACATGTGAGTGAGCTGTGGGTTGGAAAGCCAGGATTTAATATGTTCATCATTGATTAATTTCTTCTTTGTCAACATTTAAATAAGCTTTTATTCTGAATCAGTAATTGTAAATGTTTTTTGGGGTTTGGTTGGTTGGTTCTGGTTGGGCTCAACAAAGGCTTCTTTGTAAATTTAAGTTCATTTCCATTCTGAAGAAAACATAAGTTTGAATCATTTTAAGTTTGATTTCCAGATTATAATTATCAATCATCAAAATATAAACTCGTTACTAAATATTAATCACTTATCTTTATTTGCGAATAAACCATTTAGAAACCTCAGGTTTACCTTTTTTTTTTGCTAATGTTCATCACATACAATATTCTTGGTTCAAGGTTGTTGTATATAGCTATTAACTGTGCTTGCAGAGAAGGGATAAACTTTCTGGGGTTTTTCTTTATATTTGTTATTCTATTATAATGTGCTAGACTGCAAAGTGTGAACATCCTTAAATTCTCAACTAATGGCAGTCTCTTATTGAACATAGCCTAATAGTTAAATATACCTTGCTAAGTAGCAGAAAGTGTTCCTTTAAAGTTTTGGAATATAAATTATGATAACAAGTATTCAGCAGTCCATATATTGATGTTTCAATCTTTTAAGATCAAAATAAGATTATAATATTTATATAATTGCTAGGAAGTGCTACTAATTAACCACAGGAAAAATTAAATCACCAGATTATTCTAAATCCTATATCTCACTGTTTCTGTCAATGAGATACATGCCTTATATGCACGAGCAAAACAAAAAGAAAGCACATTGATCAGTTGAGGACATGAAAGCTTTGCTCAGAGGAAATATATTGGGAAAGTCAATTGATTATCTGGTGTAAAAACAGTCCAATCCACGCTTGTGATAAGTAGAAGTTGATGATAAACTGGTTTATCCACTACTTGACTGACTTGAATGAGTTACCTTTTCAATTCATCAACTCCAAAGAATATGAAATATAAAATATATATTAAAAATGTGATGTCATTCTGTTCCATTTTCTGATTATGCAAGTGATGTCCCAATGTACAGCTGAATTGGGGCAGTGGAAAGTCTACTAGAACTGTTCATAGGTTTTGTAGAAAAGTGAAAAACAAGTGTGTGATGGTGGTTTTGATTGTTTTGAGTTTTTGAAGGAGTGGGATTTTTTTTGGTTTTGGGAGTTATTTCGTTTAAATGTGAGGGGCTTGATTAAAAGTAGATTTCATCAAGAGTTGCAGAAAAAGAGGAAGCTTGGAAGTTCCAGACAGTTATTTCAGGAGGGCACGTGCTAATTTTGGAATGGTCATGGGTCTGCTGCAGCTTACTGTCAGACCAGACTTTCAATTATGGTTGAATAGGCTGGTGCAGATCATTGCTTAGCAATTTTAAGATACCGACACCACCAAAAAAAGTGAATTAATGATTTTGTTGTATATGGTTATTATTTGAGCAGTAAGCTGTCTGGGAAGGCATTTTTATATGTTTTGCATAAAATGTTACAGCCTTAAACTTGGGAGTTTCAAAGTGTTAAAAAAATGCATCTGACAACATTTGGGATAGATGTAGTAAAACTAAGAATAAATACTAAAAATAGTAACAAAGTGGTTCAAGAGCAGATCTGATAGAGGTATGAGCCCAAGGCTTCAAAACATTGTTGCCTAGGTGTGCTAGGTAGCTGGGGGAGCAGAGGGGCTTTTCCCCTATTTGGGTGTTAAAAAGAAAACTCTGGGTATACTTTATTTACAGCATTCTTTATATGTCAACTTCAGTTTTCAGGAGTCTGTTAAACCATCTAAGAGATAATCTGTCCATATATTTGGTGGCACAAATTTTGATCATTTTTATTAATATTCTTTTGATGAAGCAAGGTGATGTGCTGAAAACAACCTTTTTTTATTCACTACGAGCACTGTTTTACTTAATGCTTTTTTCCTAAAGTGTTTATGCGTTGCCAATTAAGCCGATTACAGAAAGGACATGCAACGGATGAGTGGTTTCAACTCAGTTCCCATATACCACTGAAGGGTATTGAGCCAGGATCTTTGCGTGTTCGAGCAAGATATTCTATGGAGAAGATCATGCCGGAAGAAGAGTACAGTGAGTTTAAAGAGGTATTAAATTCATTTCCTCAGTTTTTCTGTCAAAATTCACTTCCTCTGTTGTTTGAGAGAAATTTCAATAACGCTAACAGACATTGCTAAGTGGTATTTGTAGTGACTGTTATGTTAGCACAAGTTTCTGAATATTGTTCCGGTTTTCTTTCAGCTCATTCTCCAAAAAGAGATGCATGTAGTCTATGCCTTATCACATGTTTGTGGACAGGATAGAACACTGTTGGCTGGCATTTTACTGAAGATTTTTCTTCATGAAAAGCTTGAGTCACTACTGTTACGAACACTAAATGACAGGGAAATAAGCATGGAAGGTACTGTACTAATTACACTAACATTAATTGAAACTCTGGGGAAGAAGGGCTCCCATGTCTTCGTTTCTGTCTCCTCCCTTAATTACATCATATATCAAGCTGTGAATGCAGCTTATTTCTTCCTCCGCTTTTTGTTGTCTCATTTTTCCAACTTTACACTTTATTTTTTTCAGATGAAGCTACTACTTTGTTTCGTGCCACCACTTTAGCAAGTACACTTATGGAGCAATATATGAAAGCCACAGCAACACGTTTTGTTCACCATGCACTAAAAGACAGTATATTAAAGATAATGGAGAGCAAGCAGTCCTGTGAGGTGATAACTTGAACTATGTTTTTTTTAAATTTTAATTTGTTGAAATGATGATCTACTGGTTGTTTGCTTTAGAATAATTTATTAATCCTTCAGAAATAATTTCAATACCGGAACTAAACTGATTATGAGGTTTTTTTAAATGTTAGCTTGAACAATGTTCATAGCATCACTTTTAAATAAGTTTTTAAATTCAAATGTCTTTAAATTATGTATTTATTCTTTAGCAGTTGTAGGTTCTGTTGTAGCAGTTACTGAATGGCCTACTGTAAATAACTTGTTTTAAGCTCCAGATATACTAGAAGTCAATGTCTGAACTTAGTTTAATTTTTAAACTCCTTTACATTAACTGCTTGTGTTAGATCCTGTCTTTATTTCTAAAACAACCATCCTAACTTCTGTTTCACTTGAACTTAAATATGGAAAGGGGAGGGCTGTGTCCTCAGAATACTGGATTAAAAGATGAAAATATACATAGTCAGAACAAGATGGGTACTTATGGATAGTGTTAAATGTCTGTGCTGTTAAAAGCATAGTGCACTAGAGCTTAAAAACATTGCTTTTTCACATTAGTTTCCTGGCTAGCCGTTGAAACAGATTTGTAAGTTCTATACAAGTCTGAGATTTCTACAGCAGTAGAATATTTATTTTGAAATAGTATTCAGTGTGTAATATTATCAAATTATATACGTAGTTCTATTCAAGAGACAAAACTCAGTCTTTTTCCCTTTTGGTTTTAGTTAAATCCTTCAAAGTTAGAAAAAAATGAAGATGTAAACACTAATTTGGCACATCTACTCAGTATACTTTCAGAACTGGTGGAGAAAATATTCATGGCTGCAGAGATACTGCCTCCGTAAGTTTGCACTCTTCTGTTCAAATTTGTACTTGAAAATTCCTGTTTGTGGTTTACATAGTGTTCTTATTGGTTTATCTTATACTAATCAGTATTAAGACTAAATTCTTTAGGGTTGCTATATGTACAGAGAAAAAACCCAAAACATTTGAATGAATTGTGCTTTTTGCAAATGTGGTGGATTGACCTTGGTTGGATGTCAGGTGCCCACCAAGTCACTCAATCCTTATCCCCTTCCTTAGTTGCACAGGGGAGAGAAAACATAACAAAAGGCTCATGGGTTGAGATAAGGACAGGGAGAGATCTTTCATGGATTACTGTCATGGGCAAAACAGACTCCAAGGGGTCAGGGAAAGAAGAAAAAAAATTAAATATCAATATATTGTCTCCACAAAGAGGTAGAGGACAGTACTAGTTAGCAGACAATTGTATATATTTGAGTCAGTTGCCAATTCTTTCCAGTTCTCCTACTCTGAAAAAGAGATGGAATTATTAACAGCATTAAAAATACAAATGGGTGGCAGTAGAATGACACCCTGCTTTTATTACTTCTATCTATTGATGCACAGGTTATTCTTTCCCTTTTTTAAAAAAGTTAACTTGTTTAGACTGAAACCAATGAATAAAAAGTGTGTAGTGCTAACAGTTTTCTTTCACTTTTTTAACATTAGCTTTTAATGTAAACAATTCTGAATTTTGCATTGTGGTCTGGTTTTGTCTGGGATGTAGTTAATTTTCTTCATAGAAGCTGGAATGGTGCTGTGTTTTGGATTTGTGACTGAAACAGCACTGTCAACATGCTGGTATTTTGGCTACTGTTGAACAGTATTTGCACAGTGTATAGGTTTCCTTTTTTTTTTTTTTTGTCCTCCTGTCACTCAACTGCTACCTGCTGTTCCTTCCCCCTCTGAAAAAAAGGTGAGTAGGGAGGGCATGCAACAGGACAGCTGAACACCAACTGACCAAAGGGATATTTCCCAAGAAACTTTTATGCATGGTGAGGCCCTGCTTTTCTGGAAGTGTATGGACATCTACCTGCTGATGGGAAGTCATGAATGCATTCCTTATTTTGTTTTGCTTGTGTGAACAGCTTCACCTATTCAAATGTCTTTATGATGGCCTATGAGTTTTTCTTGCTTTTGCCCTTCTGATTCTTTCCCCTATCCTGCTGAAGAGGAGTGAACAAGTGTGCTGGTTTAAAGGCAAACGAGCAGGAGAAATTAACCCAACTCAAAAGAGATTATAAGTCAGAATTACAATTTAATAAAAATAATACAATAAATACAATTATACAAATGAACAATTGGTTTTAACCCACAAAACCCCAGATGTATAACCTGGCACCCTGGGGCACGAACAGAATGGTTTTCCTTGGCCCCGGTGCTGAGCCCCACATGGGCCCCCTGAGTTCAAAAGTAAAAGGAGAGGAAGAACCTGTTGGTGTGAATGATGGTTGCAGTCTGGTTGAGAGCGGTGGTTGCAATCCGGTCGAGAGTGGTGGTCGCAGTCCGGTCGAGGTTCTGGTCCTCCTCTGGATCCCACGAGTGGTACTAGAAGTCCCAAGACCCCAAGATTATATACACTCAGGTTCAGGCAGGAATGCCCAGCACCTCCCCCAGGGTGGGGAGTTCCACAAGGGGTGAGTTATGGGTGTGAGGACAGGGACATCCTCCTATCTCACAGGCCTCTTAACACTCAGCTTATAGCCTGAGGGGTCAGGTGTGCTCTGGGCAGCTGCTGCAAATGGTCTGTTGTTAACAGTTTCTGGAAAATGACATAGAGGGTGAGGGTTATACCCACACAATGATGAACTGGTCCTGGCTGCTTTAACTAGGACAACAAGCAACTTGGGGGAGGGGGGGGGCTTAGTTGCTGCCTGGGGTCAACCCATGACAATCCTTTCTGGAGCCTGATGTGAGGCTTGAGAGGTTCTAGATAGCAACAGATTTGATCTGAGTGTGCTAGACTACATTTATAGTTGTTATAACTGTTTAGTTATTGCTTAACAAGTTGTTACTTGTTCTTACTGGCCACAGTGTTGACTTGTTTTTCTTGATACTGGTTTATTTGTTACATCGTCTGCTCCATGACATGCTCCATCTCTTGCTCTGCCCCTAACTCTAGTGCTTGTTAATGGCTGCTGTTGGCTTTTGAAGTTTGCTGTGTTGTTTATCACTTTGTTGTATTTATGTTTGGGAGAGCTATGGTAAAAGCACTGTCCTTGAGCCTGATCTGGTGTTTGTGCCATGCATTGCTGTTGTTCCAGTACTCTTGGAACCAACTCTGAGAAAATGAACAATTACACTTTTTTCCTGTTCTCTGAGAGTCATTTTGTGGGGGAAACGAAGAAGGGCACCACCTTCTTCTCAGTGGTAGATGTATTCTGCCTTGTTACAATGACTCTTTGGTTTCTGGGATATCCTTGAGTAACCAGAATGTTTATATTGGTATGTGTCGTAAATATAATTTCGGCTGTTCAAAAGGGTAGTCATTTGAAATGCCAGACAGGGATGTTCTCTGAGGCACATGGGTCATGGGTGGCAAGGTGTATAGGAGAACTTGGGCAGGTACCTAGAGTGTTCCCCCCCTCAATGGTGTGAGACTTGAAACCTGAACAGGTGTGGAATGCTACTGAAGTGACAGAGCACTTGATGAAATGATACCTTGTCTATATCAGAGACACAACTTCTAGCACTGTGCTGGGGCCTGCTCTACCCCTACTGAACCTCTGTTCAGCACTTGAAGGGCTCAGGAGGGTCTCTGGATCTTAGGACATACAAACAGACACTGTAGCTAAGCCAGAGACTCAACCCTCAACTATAACAGTTGTTTGTATAATTAAGAAGAAAAAATGGAAGCAGAGGTCCACTTGTTTAGTAAGGGTAGAAGAAACTCCTCCTGAGGGGAGAGCAGGAGGAAGAATCAGAAGAGGCAACCTGTTCTGTAGCGGAGTAGTCACAAGAACAGGAGAGGGAAGAGACTGAAATCATAAATGAGTCAGACATCACCTGGTTTCTATCCTTGAGTCAACTGAGAGATATGTGGAAAGTATGGTCACCAACCAGACAAGCGAATTATCACCTAGTTGCTCCAATGCTGGGATATTAGGGCCAACAGTCAGGAATTATAGAAGGTAGAGAAGACCAGCAGCTGGGATCCCTAGCAAGGGACCATGGAATCAACAAAGGGACAGAAAGACAGGCAGCAATCCACAGCCTCTGGAAGTGGCTCCTGTCAAGTGTGAAGACAAGGTATTCCTTCAAGGAAAGTCTTGTAAATTACTGAGGCAAGTGGACCATGACTGAGGAAGGTATTCAATATCTGAGGGATTTAGTGGTGGTGGTGACCTACAGCAACCTGGACAATAACCAGGCCTTCAAAGATCGGGATGAAGTCCTGTATTTGTGGTCCATGTGGTAGAAGTTTATATGGAATGCACCGACATTGTACACCAGTACCCTGGTGATAATGGACAGACATTGATGCATCAACTGTGGAAAAACTGGTCTGCCAGCTCTGGTGCTCTGAAGAGAATCTCTCTTCCTCACCGACCCTACAGGGCAATGGAGAATCTGTCCCAACGGTTCCAGCAACTTGAAGAGAATCTCCCTTTCTCCTTACCCCTACAGTCTGGTGTCTCAGCTGTCAAGAGTGCTGTATGAAATCAACCTTTCTCTGCTCAAGGGAAAGGGAACTGTGGGTGCACACTATATGCCTCTCTGTGGTTCTAGCTCTGCAACCACAGGGAAGACATGAGGAACTGGAGCATTGCACCTTCCTCAAGCATAGACCACATATATGAATTGCAAGGGAAAACAGCAGCCAAAAAAGCTTTATCCAGAGAAGATTAATGCTCTGTTTGCTGTTGAGCAATTCTCCAGACACAGTAGAAGGGTTGATCTTCCTTCTGATCCTAATGAAGGGACTAATGGTTTGCAATTGCAGGAGTTGGGTAATGAATGCTCCAACCAAAAAGAGAGAGGTCAGGCAGAGGAAAGGGTCAACTGGTTTTATTGGACTGAGTGGATTCAGTGGCCTGGCACATCAGACCCATAGGAGTATAAGGTTTTGGTAGACATGGGTGCACAGTGTACCCTAATGCCATTAAGGTCCAAGGGGATGGAACCCATCTGGATTTCTAGAGTGACAAGGGGATCCCAACAATTTGTGTTTGAGGCTGAGGTGAGCCTCACAGGGAATAAGTGACAGAAGTATCCTTTTGTGACTGACCTGGAGACTCCATGTATCCTTGTTACAGACTGTTTCAGGTGAGGGTATTTCAAGGATCTGAAAGGGTACTGATGGGCCTTTGGTGTAGCTACCATGGATGCAAAGAAGATTAAACAGCTGTCTACCTTGCCCAGCCACTTGTAGGACCTTCTGTTGTGGGTTTGCTGTGTGTTGAAAAGCAGCAGGTGCAGACTGCTACCATGATATTGAACTAGTGGCAGTATTGCACCAACCAAGACTCCCTGGTTCCCCTTCATAAGCTGATTCATCAATTGGAGAGTCAAGGAGTAATCAGCAAGACGCAATGACCCTTGAATAGATCCATACGTGTTGGAGGATGCAGCAAGGCCGCAGTGCCTAGCAGCATGGGAAAGAATGTAAATAAGAGGTGAACATCCAATCATATGTGAAGGCTAGTGGTAAATTATAGATAACAGAGCTAAGAATAAGTTTGGTATGTAAGATTCTACAGGACAGAGTGTGGGTGCAACTGTGTGAAGACAAGATGTAATATTCTGGATGAAGAGAATAAAAGATGAATTTAGGCCATCATCATAAGATGCCCAGTTTTATTTCTATGGTCGTCCTCGTATTTAATACGACACATATGACCTGTAAAAGTGGTAGAGGGTGGAGACTAACAGTGGACTATCATGGTCTGAATGAAGTCATTCCACAGTTGAGTGCTGGACGTCGAGGAACTCCAGTATGAGCTAGAGTTGAAGTGGCTGGTCTGTGGATAAGTCTATGCTAGAACAGGTATGCCTCCA